GCTCTTTTGACCCTGTAACTTCCCAAAACACCATGAAACCTGTATATAGAGGGTACTGTTTTACACGTGAGACATCGCAGAATACAAATATGTGTATTTTATTGCAGTAAAAGCAAACAACATTATTACATTCACAGTTAAAATGTCATGCAGAACTAAAAAAAAAAAAAAAAATCTTAATTTCTCACATTTTTTAAAATATTTTATTAATATTAAATTATGTTTCATAGCTATATATTTGATGTTATTTCTCCTGAATAAAATGATATATAATAAGTTTAGGTACACTTAATATGAAAGAGGTGAATTACGGTTGAACAGACATATAGTCAAATTCCAACTTTTGTTTCCTTTTTATTTTGATCAAAACGTGTACATTTGGCTCAGTCCTTAAGGAGTTAATTGAAGAGTAGCGTTGTCAAGTGATGCAATATTTGCAGGGGAAAAAATTATAAGGAGTTAAAACTAGACTTGTGTGTGATACTGCAACTATTGCTGGAATTCTGCCAAAGGGTAATAACATGCTAGGCTAACACAACAGTATGACCACCAGGCACAGAATAGAGTAACTAGCTGCTTCAGTAGGTAGTTGAGTGTCACTATAAGACATGGTAGTGTGCCAGTGAACAGTTCGTTCATGCCCCAAGATGGCAGAGATGTACAATCTCTTCTAGATTCTTTAATGGAAGCGCCACTCGCCTCTCCCAGACTTAAGCACGGATGTGGAGTAGTGGGTGGTCAGTTGGAACACAGCCCTGTGGACCAAGGCCTGGACGTGCTCCTTGTGGGTTCCCAGCCAGATAGAAGAGCAGCTGGTCAGTACCTCGCCAGGAAGTAGGCCATTGATGGGCCGGTGCCGATGAACCACCCTCCAGGGTGTGGCGCAGCGATGTGGAGTTGCACTCCGTCTGGCTCGAGGTGTGGGTAAGTAAAACACAGTAGCTGGATACCGGTGTCAAGTATGCAGCATGCTGAGGCCAGGATTTTACACAGTCCCTCTGAGGCAATTTGGAATTTCTCTGGGGGCTGAGTGGCCGCGAGTCAGTGTGACAGCCATTTTTTAATTGGGGCATTGGAGTACTCTCAGCAGGCCTCGCTGATGACTGCTTAGGTACCCTCCAGTGGGGACCGGTATAACCATCACCAGTCCAAAGGGGGGCATGTGAGGAGTGTTGCAGAGCAGTTGTATGGCAGCCAGGTAAGTGAGCAGGGCAGCGGCAGTCTGTCCCGCTTCTCTCCCAAGAGGGCTGCAAGCTTTAAAGCCTTGTATAGCCCATGGGGCCCCAAAACTCCCAATCTCAAAACTTGCTGTAGCGCCAACTTCAGCCCGAACACAGTGCTGTTGCCTTCCGGCTCAGATTAAGGCTGTGAGTCTGGGTTAGCAGCCGAAAATGGCATATTTACACAGGAGCCTCTCCTGCATCTGACCTTTCAGCATGGCGGTAACGCCCCGCCCCCCTTAAAGTGGGTTTTAAGGCACACTTGTTACTTATTAACAATGCATTATTAATCGACCGAGTAGAAAAGGAAATTCAGAGTCTTCATGCACTGAGATAATGCAGCTCTAAGAGGCACTGCTGTTAGGGGGTATGGATTTACTTGCAAGATAAAAGCGATGGATTAAGGTATGTGTTTTCTTATAGCTGTATCATGTGAGTATCCCTCCTTCACCACCTCCACCAGATATATGATGCTTGGGAGGTATGACTGTTTTAGTGTTTCTGTCGATAACATTCTGTAATTAGGCCCATCATAATTGTCAGCACCAGGCCCACTGGGCTCTTAATCTGGCCCTGATCTTAGAGGAGAGGCTGACCCAGCAAGACCAGTGTGCTGCGGGATATAAAGCAAGTTAAAATTCTTTAACATTTTTTAAATGGTTAGGAAAACACTCAAACAACAGAAATACATTGTTTGTATTTATACCATTAGAGGTTTCCCTTAAGCAATCCCTCACTTTCATGGTGATCATTAAGAAACAAAAGGGCAAGCACTGGGTTCTCCAGCCTGTGCTCTTAATCACGGAGCACCAGGTCAGAAAGGCGCTATTATTGCGGCATGCTCCTGCCGGAGAGCACATACAGACAGGCCAGCATGCACCACACAATATAGGGGAAGAGGTCGGTGGACAATATGCTAAGAGCTCTAGACAGGGGACTCAATCTTTCTAGAACTTTTTTTTTGTGCATTAGATTTTAAGTGTATATCTATCATATCCAACAAGTACATTATTATTATGTTATTATTTATATAGCGCCAGCAAATCCCGTAGCGCTGTACAATGGGTGGACTAACAGATATGTAATTATTACCAGACAAATGGACGCACAGGAACAGAGGGGTTGAGGGTCCTGCTCAATGAGCTTACATGCTAGAGGGAGTGGGGTATAGTGACACACAGCATATAAGTAGGGGTAATGAAATAGGTTGCTAGAAAAGTAATTACTGAGAACTTAGTAGGTTATTTTGACCGTTGCAGGAGAGGAGTCGGCGGGGGAGGTGAAAACCCTCTAACAGTTTAAATGACATGCTTTTCTGAAGAAGTTTGTTTTCAAAGATTTTTGGAAGGAGTGGAGACTGGGTGAAAGCCTAACGGAGAAGGGAAGGGAGTTGCACAGAAAAGGTGCAGCCCTGGAGAAGTCTTGAAGGTGAGCATCAAATGTGGGAGTACGGACAGAGGATAGGCGGAGGTCTTCGGCAGAGCACAGGAGCCTCAACGGGACATATTTGTGTATTAGGGAGGATAGGTAGGTTGGAGCAGCATTATGTAGGGACTTGTAAGCAAGCACCAAAATCTTAAATTGAGCCCTATATCTAACTGGAAGCCAAAGTTGGGACTGACAGAGGGAGGAGGCGTGGGAGGTGCGGGCGGACAGGAAAATTAGCCTTGCTGCCGCATTCATTATAGGTTGCAGCTGTGCAATCTGAAAACACGTAAGACAAGGCGAGAAAGAACAACGGCATGGACCAGCACCGTAGCTGCATCTGGTATTAAATAATGGCGGGTGCGTGTTATGTTTTTGAGACAGAAGCAGCAGGATTTTGGCAATCGACTAGACATAATCAACATCATAGATTAGATAGATTTCTAGTATACAGATCACCAATATTCCCAAGCACAAGAAATCAGTTACTCACGTTCCACTTTCCAGTTGAGGTCCAACCTTCTCGTACATTTTTATCAATCGGCTGCAGTTATACACAAACATTCCATCTAATTCTCGCTGTTCGATATTCACACCAAAGATAAAATTTAGTTCTTTGGGCTCTTTCAGTGCCCTACATTAAAAAAATAAATAAATAAATATAGAACAAAATCTTACATTCCTGAGAGACATGTATTGTTTTAAAATTGGTTATTCCTTTTTTCTTTTGTATTTATTTAAAAGAAATTATATGAAAAATAAAAACTATATTTATATTTATAGGGTAAGCTACTGAAATACAACAAAATACTTTACAGAATGAAATACCAGAATTGATTTGCAAAAGGGACTAGAATAGGCAGAATAATTGCAAAAGGGACTAGAATAGGCAAATTCAAGAACACTTGGAATAAACCAAAGGCTATTTTACACAGCACATGGGAACTACACTTAGTTGCAAGACGGATAATGTGATGATGTGTCCCTCTTCTGATGTCATTGGCTGAATGCGCATGCGCAGTAAGAGCCGCGCACGCATTCAGCCAGTCTCATAGGAAAGTATTCTCAATGCTTTCCTATGGACGCTGGCGTCTTCTCACTGTGAAAATCACAGTGAGAAGCGCGGAAGCGCCTCTAGCGGCTGTCAATGAGACAGCCACTAGAGGCTGGATTAACCCATTCTCTGAAACTGCTAGGTTTACAGCAGTCAGGGTTAATCCTAGAAGGACCTGGCACCCAGACCACTTCATTGAGCTGAAGTGGTCTGCGTGCATATAGTGGTCCATTAAATAGTTAATGTGTTGGTTCACTTTTAATCTTGTCATGTAACCCGGAACAGGAAAAAGGTCACAGGTTATAATTCAGTTGTACAGAGAATACTCATAATAAAGAGATCCCGGTTCAGCTTCTAATCCTCTCTCAGTGTCTTATGTCAATACAACACAGGTAACAGACAGCTAAATATGGATATTGAGTATTCCTTGTAATTATATTTTACGAACTCCAATTAGTGGCGTTTTTCTAGTAAACTAGCATTTTTTTCTAGCCATAAAATTTTACTTTTTGTAACGATTTTTTAATTTATTTATTCCCTTCAATCATAGACAACCTTTACAGTGTTTACGTTCTTTAGTTACTAGTTTCAGTTCTTACCTCTGTTTTGCTTCCTTAATGCGTTTTTTCACATCTGCCTCTCTTCGGAAAGATATGGCTGCATTTTGTACTTGGCGGAGAGCTGCCTGAAAAAAAAGAAAAAGAAAAGGTAAAAAAAGAAATAAAATAAAAGGAGGCAGAAACAAGCACAGTTTTTAGAGAAACAAGTTATACAATATTCAATTTTCTTTCAGTGCTCTTAGAGACCAGAAGTAAAAAAAATTACAAAATATTGGAATATAGAATCTTATATTATTTAAAGTTGTCAAAAGGATAACATCAAATAAAAGGACCAGTTTGGGCACCATAACAACTTAATTATGATTATACATACTCTGGATTCACGATTTAAGTCATCCCCAAGACGCAATTCCATTGCTCGTGCTTTGCTTTCTGCCTCTCGTGCTTTATCCTCCGCTAGCAAAACAGGATAGTAAGAAGGAAAGTATAGGTTACTGGTCAAAGTTAAAGTTATCTGAATATATTTTACAGCTATATTTGAAAGGAACACTCCAAGCACCATAACCACTATAGCACACTGCAGTTATGAAGCCAGGACTATTTACAATGCCCTGTCATGTCCCCCCCTCCCCCCCATTGTAAATAGTCAAACCATTTTAGTATGGTCTGACTTCTTACCTGGGGTCTGCCTCCATTACTTTCAACAAAGAACCATAAGCTCTCTGAATTAACCCACTGGGCTTAGCTCAGAAGAACTGAAGGAATCCTCTGCTTAGGAGCTTCTGGCTCTCTGTCAGAAAGCAGGGACTGTGTTCAGCAGAACCCAGGTAAGAAGTCAAACCATTCTAAAACAGTTTGACTACTTACAATGCGAGGACAGGGTACTCTTGTCATCATAACCACTACAGCGCACTGTTGTTGTTATGGAAGTTGGAGTGTTCTTTAAAACCAAATCTTTTTACATAAACATATTTTCTGAATGACAGACTGACTTTTTATCTGATAATTTATTGATTTTACGTATTTTTCTATCTACACATTTAAGCTATGCTAGGCACAAATTAAAATTGGACTTCCCTACATATACATACATTTACTGACTGCAATATATGAATTCCACAAACAGAATCTCAAGATCAATACAGTCAGCCATGTAGAGGACTAAAAAGATAGTTTAGTAACATTCATAATTATTAATCAGTATCACTTTTATCTTCTGGCTGTGACCACCCCCCTCGATTGCAGTACCGATCTTTGCCATATGTTCTGCTTTCTTCACCTCCTGTTCAGCTCTTGTTTTAAATCGGTTTGAAGTATATTTGTACATTCTGCAAAAGAAATAGGGGTTATAAGCAAATTTGTTACACAGATCCAAGCAGAAAAAGACTTCACAATTGTCCATATATTACAAGAAAGTTGCTCAATGTATTTTTACATTAGCAGACAGAAAATCGATTATTTTTTGGGGGGGTACAAAAAACTAGTTAATTGGTATTTCACATTAGAACATACAATTGGGCAATATCTGGATCTCATTTAATTGCTGACTAATTAGATAAAAGTATAACAAACATGCAGAGAACAGCATTATTATCTATGTGCTAATCAACAGACTAAATTAACTGAGACAGGACAGCAAGCAGTTTTTTTAAATCTCTGATTTTAGAGAAATCGACATTTGCTAGCAATTCAGATAAAAAAGTATAAAGATTAAATTTGACTATCATTTATGATTAGCAGAGTTATTCACTAAAGTGGGAATTCAAAATGAATGTCAAATTTAAGGTCAAAATAGTCAAACTGAAAAAAATCTGTCTGCTATGCTTCCAGTTGGGCTACTTTTCAGTAAGGCTTTTGACACTGTTGCACATAGAAGGCTTATCAATAAACTGCAATCTTTAAGTTTGGATTCAAATATTGTTGAATGGGTAAGGCAGTGGCTGAGTAACAGGCAACAGAGGGTTGTAGTTAATGGAATATATTCGAAGCTTGGACTTGTCACCAGTGGGGTACCTCAGGGATCTGTACTTGGACCCATTCTCTTTAATATTTTTATTAGTGATATTGCAGAAGGTCTTGATGGTAAGGTATGTCTTTTTGCTGATGATACTAAGATATGCAACAGGGTTGATGTTCCAGGAGGGATAAGCCAAATGACAAATGATTTAGGTAAACTAGAAAAATGGTCAGAATTGTGGCAACTGGCATTTAATGTGGATAAGTGCAAGATAATGCATCTTGGACGTAAAAACCCAAGGGCAGAGTACAGAATATTTGATAGAGTTCTAACCTCAACATATGAGGAAAGGGATTTAGGGGTGATTATTTCTGATGACTTAAAGGTAGGCAGACAATGTAATAGAGCAGCAGGAAATGCTAGCAGAATGCTTGGTTGTATAGGGAGAGGTATTAGCAGTAGAAAGAGGGAAGTGCTCATGCCATTGTACAGAACACTGGTGAGACCTCACTTGGAGTATTGTACACAGTACTGGAGACCGTATCTTCAGAAGGATATTGATACCTTAGAGAGGGTTCAGAGAAGGGCTACTAAACTGGTCCATGGATTGCGGGATAAAACTTACCAGGAAAGGTTAAAGGATCTTAACATGTATAGCTTGGAGGAAAGACGAGACAGGGGGGATATGATAGAAACATTTAAATATATAAAGGAATCAACACAGTAAAGGAGGAGACTATATTTAAAAGAAGAAAAACTACCACAACAAGAGGACATAGTCTTAAATTAGAGGGACAAAGGTTTAAAAATAATATCAGGAAGTATTACTTTACTGAGAGGGTAGTGGATGCATGGAATAGCCTTCAAGCTGAAGTGGTAGAAGTTAACACAGTAAAGGAGTTTAAGCATGCGTGGGATAGGCATAAGACTATCCTAACTATAAGATAAGGCTAGGGACTAATGAAAGTATTTAGAAAATTGGGCAGACTAGATGGGCCGAATGGTTCTTATCTGCCGTCACATTCTATGTTTCTATGTTACTTTGGTCTTAACGTTTACATTACTTTACTTTAGTAAATAATCCTGTAAATTGTGTTTGTCATGATAGGTACCCTTTAATAGATGTTTTATAGGATAAATAGTTTTAAATTACTTCCCCACCCTTCCATGGAAGATACAGTAAAATAAATTTCCAGCAGCCAATTGTTATTCAAACAAATATTATACAAATATAATAAGGTCAGCCACATGTTAACGTTACCTGGGTTTGTATAGGCAACAAGAAAGACGTTTTGTCTGAACTTTATGGCCATGAATGAAGATTCTCATTCTTGGATCAATATAAAGAACAGCAGCATAAGCTCGGAATGAACGGCGCTCAGGTTTCCTGTGAAGTAGGAAAACAAATGCTTGTAAATGGGGCATTAACATCATATGTTTGAACCAAATGCTATGGCTTGCAACCATGTTTTTTTTTTGTTTTTTTTAAATAAAAAGTTTAATTCTAGAGCAAATTTCCAAAAGTGAAGCTCTCACCAAGGTAAGTTTGCCCAGTCCAGACCGGTCCTCTTTTGAAACTTTACACCAGAATTGCTCTTTATAAACAACGGTTTAAGAGAGAAACTTGAATACAACTACCCACAATTGATATGCTTGTATGACAGCTACCACATTATAATTGTTTTCAAAAAAATATCAGGACTGGTTTTCCCGATTAGATCAATAAATTAAACAATATAATATAATATAATATATATATATATATATATATATATATATATATATATATATATATATTTTTTTTAAACGGACAAAAAATGTCAAGTTTCCCCGCCCCCCCACCCAAATATCAGGGGTGTTGAAATTTATTTTTAAAATCTACTTGTTAAAGAGACCGTAGTTGCTGCTCAAATTACTTGCTTGTCATTCCAAAGTACTTGTCCTGGTCCTGACACACATTATAACGTAAATTAGAAAAATTGAGGTCCATGCTTATAGCCGTGGGTGTCGTCTCACCTTGTGCCTCCCCATCCCCCTACCAAGTGTGTGTCATGTGCTGGATGTGTGAATTGTGGGTTAGTATTATGTAAGGTGTCTGATGGTACAATCAGTTGTGTGTACACACTTTTTTTTTTTTTTTTACACTTCATCTTAACTTTTCATGCAGCTCAGAAGTTCTCAAAACATTAGCACAACAAAGAAACAGCTTTTGGCATTAGCAAGATTCACATATAGTTTTTTTTTGTATGTGGTTAGTTCTATCACAGCAACATAATTCCAACTTTCCAAAAAATTATAACAGGAAACAACATATATAAACAAAGTATCAAAGTATCTTGAACAGAGGATATATATTTTCATAGTGTACAACACTTACGTTCCTTCGGGTGGCGTACCAGCCATTCGAATATCTTTTGGGTCAGAGACTATATCCAGCTCTGGCTCACCAGAATCCATCAACTTCAAATTGAAAATCACAACCAAAGTACCTAATACAATTTTTTTTTTTTTTTTTAAAGTAAAACAAAAAAAAACAAAGAAAGCCTTTTATTTATATTTAGGAGGTACAGACACTCCAACAGCTTTAGGCACATTTATTAGGACAGAAGGTACACAGTAACGTTTCGACCCACAGATAGGTCTTTATCTAGCCTGTCTTGACAGTTTCCATTTAAGCTGCATGAATAAAAATTAATGTTGTGGTAGGTATGCATATAGGATATTAAAAGAAAGACATGTCCTAAAAAAATAACACACACATATATTTCTTAAGTACAGAGGCATTTAAAGAAAAACCCTTAAACTGCAGTGCAACAAACACATTGCACAAATTTTAGGTTTTGTATTGGTTCAAAACGTTTGCCTCTGTCCAGAAGTTTTCATAGACAAGCCTTCAATTTGGAGATGGGCCTATCAGAGTCTTATTTCCCAGCTACCCAAGATTTTTAGGATATCACAATGAATCGACAGGTAAAAATGTATTAAAAAGGGCCAGAACAAATATCAGTAAGCAGTGGCAAACTCATGTTTAACTAGTTGCCCAGTTTTACTTACACAGGGGCCATCATAAAAGAACACACTTTAGTCTGTGTCACAGATGTGTTATTTATGTTTTATCTTTTTACCTGAGCTACCATTGATCTGTTTGAACTGGTCCATGATTTCCTTTTGGGAACGAAATGGAGAATATTTATAGATAAGTTCTGTCTCGATGGCAAATTTCTCCATGTTCTCACTTAGTGGTTCACATGTTTTGGAATTCCATGTAGGAAGAGGGACAATAACCTTGAAGGATAGAAAAACAACATTAAAAAAAACAAAAAGACAGGGAGTGGAAGAGATTTTTCTTCTGACTGAATAAACTGTCTGCATAAAGCAAGCAAAGGTTTATTGTTTTACTGGAGACAAATATTTCTCACTCTGGATTGTAAATATTCACATTATTTAAATAAATTCGTTTTTATGTATAGACCAAGCCCCTGAAGTCTCACTGTTAAATCATGTTGCTTTCTGTTTATTCAGCCCTAGTCACAACTCCCCTGGCTGTGACTAATACAGCCTACATGGAAAAATAGTTTTTTATTTTAATTTAGATCTTACAGGGCAGTGTGTTTACTTTAGAAATTCTTACCTTCTGCTCAGTTAATTGAACTTTTATCACACACAGGGTTAAAGCTAATGGAATCAGGTCTAGTGGGCTGTTAACAGAGCAGGAGTTAAGAAATACCAAGTTAAATGCAATGTGCAACAAGTGAATCTACAAAATATAGACTCTTTAGACCAGGATGCATAAACAAAGTGATTTAACTCCTAAATAACAGATATAAAGAACAGGGGATTGATCTATATACCCCCAAAAATTAATTCAGCTGAAGTTGTTTTGACGCTTCAAGGTTCCCATTAAAGTGGAATATATCCTGATATTTTTTTATAGTTCAACATGTTCTGACAAATTAACATTACGAAGAGTAAATACAAAATGAGAATTTTGTAGTGAACAAGTTGTAGCAACTCCCCAAAAAATTGATTTGCAGGCTGCATCTTATTCGTGAGGGGGGTCACTCTACTGGATTGATTCACTAGCAACCCCTTTTTTAAAAAAAACAAAAACAAAAAAAAACTATTTTGTAATGAACAAGTAGAAAGAATTCCAGATATACATTAAAAATCATTTCTCTAGCTTATATCCTAGCTGCATTTGGAGACAGGACTGGATCAAATCAAACAATATGCCAAATTTTACCAGTATTTTTGCAATTAAAACACCTCACTATGTGATATCTGCCCCATTCAAAAGTTTTAGTTTTGAATGATACAGTTGCCTCACTTTGCAGGCTGAAAAAACAAAACAAAACAAAACATCTTTAACTACTTTCTTAAGCTTTCTACACTTATTCCGGGGGGGTGGGGGGAGGGACACTGATCTAACAAGTGTTCTATCCCTAGGAATGCTGGAAAAGTGCATTGGGCATGAAGGACAGATTTACACATGTGCAGTTTTAAGCTCTCCTAGCCTTGCAACACCCTGACAAGGGGAGAAAAGTGTGTTTCTCTCTCCTGCTGCTGCACAATGATGCCATTTCTTTCATTAGCGCTGAAAATTTTCACAAAATACCAGTACCGCACTCAAAAGAACATAAAGGAACACTACACGGTCAGGAACACAAATGTATTCCTGACCCTATAGTGTTAAAAACATTATAAAGCCCCTTTAAATATAGCAAAATCTTAACTTTATTCCAGTCTGCTGGTGCTGACTCTGCCTTTTTGGCTGATATCACCAGACGTGACGATTGCAGCCAATCCAATGCTTTCCCACAGGAAAGCATTGGATTGGCTGAGATAGTTAATTCTGATGATCTCAGCCAAGGAGGTGGGCTTGGGTCATGGCCAAACAAACATCACCCTGGCCAATCAGCATCTCTTCATAGAGATGCATTGAATCAATGCATCTCTATAGGGAAAGTTCAGTGTCTACATTCAGAGGGTGGAGACACTGAATGTCAGTGCTGCACAGTGTGCAACACTGCTAAGGAAGCACCTTTAGTAGCAATCTGAGGAGTGGGCACCGGAGGTGTACCCTGACTAATGTAAAAACTGCCTTTTTTCAGAAAAGACAGTGTTTAATGCAAAAGGCTTGCAGGGACCGACTATACTCACCAGAACAACTATATTGGGTTGTAGTAGTTATGGCGACTATAGTGTCCCGTTAATGGAACTAAAAAGAATTATATAGATTTGGAGAGCAAACATCCTTGTAGAGCAGATTTATTGCAATATTACGAAAAAGGCATGCCCACTATAATAAGCATCAGTGATAAGAAGTGAAGCTAACATCTCTGCACTGGGCATCAAAAAAGGGGGAAAGCAAAATGAATTAAACTGGAAGATGAATGCGGTTCACATCACTACAGAATGATTTCTCAACACCATTTGAAAAATATCAAGTATACAGTTGGGTGAAATTTAGAAATTCCTATAATAGGAGGAAAACCAAATCAGTTTTAAAGATAACATTGAAAAACAGATGGAAATAAAGGCAAAGTATCTTTCTCTAGCAGTGATGCCCTAAATGATTCCACAGATACACATCAAATACTTCGGAGGGAAGGAATCAAGATCTATAGAAACCACTAAAAATCTAAATCTGTATTAAACAACTCAAATAGTGAAAATGATGGTATTGAGAACATGATGAACAGCTCAGAAAAAAAGGAGGATGAGAAGAGGAAAGCGGAATCAGAGGATATTTTCTCCAAAAGGAAAAATCAAGCAGGATTATTGTCCTCAAAAGAACTTACATCAGTTGAAATCAATTTACTCTCATACTGTCATGAGGTCTATCATTTGTTCCCAGCACAGAATAAAATTTGTTTCACACTTTAATTGATATCAATAAATATATCAGCAAACTCACACTTAAGAAGGAATGAAACAGATGAAGGTGCAAGCTTGGAACAAACTATCATCCAGAACGTTGAATGCATAAAGAATCCCTCAGATCACAAGGAATATGAGAGATCTAGATATGGCAAAATATTAGATGATGATACAGTTTCTTAAAGAACTAATATCAGATTACAATCCAGCTTCAATCTCTTACGTGTAAGAGGTATAGCAGAGAACCACTTTAACAAATTGGTTGAGAAAGATTTGTGGAGTTTAAAAGAGAGAAGTGATAACATTAAAAAAACAATAAGAAGATGACTAATTTCAAATATCAAGAAAAACAAGCTTTAAGGAATTTGGAGTGTTGTCATCAAGCAATCTGACAAGGGAGAAAATATTGTGCTGATGGATGCAGATCAATGTAAGAGAAAATCTTTGAGACACCTACAGTTGCAAGAAAAAAGTATGTGAACCCCTTGGAATGATATGGATTTCTGCACAAATTGGTCATAAAATGTGATCTGATCATCATCTAAGTCACAACAATAGACAATCACAGTCTGCTTAAACTAATAACACACAAAGAATGAAATGTTGCCATGTTATTATTGAACACACCATGTAAACATTCACAGTGCAGGTGGAAAAAGTATGTGAACCCCTAGACTAATGACATCTTCAAGAGCTAATTGGAGTGAGATGTCAGCCAACTGGAGTCCAATCAATGAGATGAGATTGGAGGTGTTGGTTACAGCTGCCCTGCCCTATAAAAAACACACACCAGTTCTGGGTTTGCTTTTCACAAGAAGCATTGCCTGATGTGAATGATGCCTCGCACAAAAGAGCTCTCAGAAGACCTACGATTAAGAATTGTTGACTTGCATAAAGCTGGAAAGGGTTATAAAAGTATCTCCAAAAGCCTTGCTGTTCATCAGTCCACGGTAAGACAAATTGTCTATAAATGGAGAAAGTTCAGCACTGCTGCTACTCTCCCTAGGAGTGGCCGTCCTGTAAAGATGACTGCAAGAGCACAGCGCAGACTGCTCAATGAGGTGAAGAAGAATCCGAGAGTGTCAGCTAAAGACTTACAAAAGTCACTGGCAAATGCTAACATCCCTGTTAGCGAATCTACAATACGTAAAACACTAAACAAGAATGGATTTCATGGGAGGATACCACAGAGGAAGCCACTGCTGTCCAAACAAAACATTGCTGCACGTTTACAGTTTGCACAAGAGCACCTGGATGTTCCACAGCAGTACTGGCAAAATATTCTGTGGACAGATGAAACCAAAGTTGAGTTGTTTGGAAGAAACACACAACACTATGTGTGGCGAAAAAAAGGCACAGCACACCAACATCAAAACCTCATCCCAACTGTGAAGTATGGTGGTGGGGGCATCATGGTTTAGGGCTGCTTTGCTGCGTCAGGGCCTGGACGGATTGCTTTCATCGAAGGAAAAATGAATTCCCAAGTTTATCAAGACATTTTGCAGGAGAAATGAAGGCCATCTGTCTACCAGCTGAAGCTCAACAGAAGATGGGTGTTGCAACAGGACAATGACCCAAAGCATAGAAGTAAATCAACAACAGAATGGCTTAAACAGAAGAATATAAGCTTTCTGAAGTGGCCCAGTCAGAGTCCTGACCTCAACCCGTCTGAGATGCTGTGGCATGACCTCAAGAAAGCGATTCACACCAGACATCCCAAGAATATTGCTGAACTGAAACAGTTCTGTAAAGAGAGGAATGGTCAAGAATTACTCCTGACCGTTGTGCACCTCTGATCTGCAACTACAGGAAACGTTTGGTTGAAGTTATTGCTGCCAAAGGAGGTTCAACCAGTTATTAAATCCAAGGGTTCACATACTTTTTCCACCTGCACTGTGAATGTTTACATGGTGTGTTCAATAAAAACATGGCAACATTTCATTCTTTGTGTGTTATTAGTTTAAGCAGACTGTGATTGTCTACTGTTGTGACTTAGATGATGATCAGATCACATTTTATGACCAATTTGTGCAGAAATCCATATCATTCCAAAGGGTTCACATACTTTTTCTTGCAACTGTATGTCTGACTGCCTAGTGACCACACCAAACACATTGACACAGCTAGTCTCTGGGAGTAGGAAGATAAAATGCAATATATTTTGAGGCCTAACTCTGACATGCCTATTTTTTTAGCATCTTCCAAAGATCCACAAATGAATGGTAGACCCACCAGAATGTCCCATAATACCTGGGATAGGATCTTTGGGTGAAGGTTCATCAGAATGGCTAAATTTCCAAATGAGATGTTACAAATACAGAAATCTAAAAGCTATTTAAGGTATTAAAAACTTGTTTCTTCCAATTGGCTTGTTTCAAACAGGATAGAAATTATTTATGTCTAGGATTGCATGTTACCGCATTATACTTCTCAGACTTCAAAAAGGAATAGAGATGACTTCCTAGAAAGAGTAATAGATTTCTCAAAAGAGTTGAGAAAATGTATGATAGAAAGTCTCACTTTTTTTTGTTAAGGAGCACTATAGGGTCAAAACCACCATCTAGCCCCCGTGGCCACCTCATGCCTCCCTAAAATCATAAAACTTACTTGTATTCGAGTCTGCAGCTGCATATTTTGTCCCAGTTTCCTTTAGACCTGCCTACTGCCTGCTGACATCAGCAGAAGTGGAGGCCTGATCCAATCACAATGCTTCCCCATAGAATTGGCTGAGACTGACAAAGAGGCAGATCAGTGGCAGAGCCTGCACAATTCAAACACAGCCCCGGCCAATCAGCATCTCCTCAAAGAGATGAACTGAATCAATGAATCTCTATGAGGAAAGTTCAGCGTCTGCATGCAGAGGGAGGAGATACTGAATGTTTGGATACATTTTAGGCAACCATGACCCAGGAAGGATCTCTAACAGCTATCTGAGGTGTGGCCAGTGAAGTTATCACTAGGCTGTAATGTAAACAATACATTTTCTCTGAAAAGACAGTGTTTACAGCAAAAAGCCTGAAGGTAATGATTCTACTCACCAGAACAAATTCAACAAGCTGTAGTTGTTCTGGTGACTACAGTGTCTCTTTAACACATATTTTTTCATGTTTAGTCATGGCAACACAATGGGGACTAAATATTTCCCTTCATATGCCAACATGTTGGAATCGTGCCATGTCTTTGGTGATGGTAATCCCCATCGAAAAAATATTAGGCGGTTTGGAAGATTCATCAATAACCTCCTGAAATTTGGGAGGGTTACCAGCAATCTTGTCTAGAATAACTTCAGGATTTAGGAAGAAAGAAGAATCACAATGGGTAGAGACAGATTCCATGACGGATAGAAAGACTTCCAAGGAGGATATTCAAGCCAAATAGCTTTAGAAAAGTACTAGCATCAGCCATTTTCTCCTTGTTGATTTGGCCATCCATATTTTTATCAGGAGATTTTTGATCGTGGGAAAAAAATGTAGGCCAGACTGAATACAAAAATAATTGAGACACATTCTAAATTGTCTGATCTTTCCGGAATAGATAAATAATTGTTAGTACTTTTTTGATTTTATCTTGATACCAGATCATCGATCTCTGGCACCCCAACTTGCTTCATGATTCTTTAAAAAACAAACAAAGAAAACAACAACATTTGGGTCTAGAGATCACTCAATTTGCTTCCACTGTGCTCTGCTTAGGTTGTCTGCCATCATGTTGTCTATGCCCCAGATATAAATTGCTAAGATTTTCAATAACAATGACATAATCTGTGCACAAAGGTGAGTCACACACTCTACTTTTGTGATTCTTTGTTTGTTCAGCTAAGTGACTGTTGTGAGGTTGTCTGATTGAATCCTTACAGGTTATCCTTTTATTCAGGGTTCGAAGGCATGTAAAGCTTTCAGAACATTTCTCTAAAGTTGGAAAAATGATTTACCTCTTCTGTAGTCCATTTGCATGACGCAATAGGGTATTTAAATGAGCATCCCAGCCTGTTATTGAAACCTTGGATGTTTATTGTTGCTCAGAGCTAGTTGATAAACTGGGAAGAAAGGGCCTTGCCGCTGTCTAATTTTTTTTTATTTTTTTTTTTAAAGTCTGTGACAGTTTTTCAGTTTGAAAGATAAAATCAGAGACAAGAGTTCTGAGTGAACTTCAAATCCTCTTCTTCACCTAACCAGTATTGAAGAATTTCCCATTGAAGAAGTCTCATTCTTACTACAAATTCAAACACATGCTGGAGAGGTTGTAGACAGGAGGGCTCCCTGTGTCACATACTGTGAAACTCAATACAATTATTGATTTGATTGACTACTTGACTCCCGAATTAAGAAAATTCCGCAACACTTACCAAAATACAAAAATAAATAAAAGTTGTTAGGTCATCTTTTAATAGCAGGAACTACTAACATAACTCAATATTGGAAATTTAGTGAATTGCCAGATATTAAGGAGGTTCTGCATTCCATTCCATTCCATAAAAGTGTTATGAATTCGTTTATCACTCACCATCAAATACTAATAATCTTCTGAGACACGAATGGAATGATTATGAAAGAAATACCAGTTCACCAGCTAACCATGTTCCTACAATGTCTAAGGTCTGGTTTGAATGTTTCTTTGAAGCGGAAGACTCGAGTTGGCTTTTACATAAGGAGCAACAGAAGATCAGCTGCCTGTGGTACTAGAATTTTTGTAAATATTCTTGGAGCTGCAGAGAAGCCAAATGTTAAATCCTTCTTCCTGCTTTGATGGCAAATCTCAGGTATTTTCTTAAAGGTATTGCCAGGAGAACATGATGGTAGGAGTCCTTTAAAGTCTGAGGTGGCCATGAAGTGGCCTCTGCATGACATATGGGTGACAGATAGGATTGATTACATTTGGAATCTTGGATACAGGATGCATGTGTGCACATTCTTTTAATCCAGAACCGAGCAGAAGCACTTGTCTTGTTTTGTACAAGAAATAGGCTTAAGTAGACGTCTGAAACGTTTTCAATTACGCCTTTTTGCAGAAAAGCAAGAGACGTTTTCAATGACGCCTTTTTGTAGAAAAGCAAGATATTTGGCTACAAGAGCACCTGCTTTTACCTGAGAAGTGCAAGTAGAACAATGGAATTGGGAAGCAGATATTTCAAGAAATCTTGAAATCTCCTTCATCCATGGATAGCCATAACCTCTGTAAAAAAAATTTTTAATTGCTCCACCGGGAAACTAGAATCTGATAGTGGCACTTAGCTGGAGACTTCTGATCAAGTGAATGGAGGAGAAGAGGTCTTACCTATTTTTCTTTCTTTGGTAGATCTATACTGGACAGATGTGGAGTATATGGATTTAACCACTGTTTCTTTAAAGCTCTCAAAAGTTTGTGGGAGATTCTCCTGATACCAGTTCAGGAAAGTATGAATTTTTATTTTAAATTCATAATTTCTTTCAGTGTATGAGATCAAGGCAAGCATTGTACAGACATTCCAGCAAGATTATATATAGAATCATGTCAAGGAGTTGCATGAAATCACACATACCGCACTTTTTATAAAATAGGGAACATGAGTAACAGGCATAATGTGTTGACTTTTAAGTATATATAACAAGATCATTTCAGGCTAGTCTAAACACATCTAAAATGTAGGCGTGCTTAAGTATGTGTGCATCTCAATGAATGTAACACCAATCAATTGCATGTCAGTGAAGGTAGCACCAATCAAGCTAGAGTCAAGATATACCAACTGACATTGTGAGTAAATGCACATAATAACATGGGGCTCAACCACCACAAGGCTGCTTCCTGGTAGGCAAGAGACAAATCGGGCGCTTCTCAGTGTTCCAACCGCCAGGAGGGCCCTAAGCAGGCCGCAGGACTTTCCACCTCAGATTTCAAGGCAAGAAGGGCAATTTCATTCCCGCCTGCCTTAATAAAGCAATGGGAGATACAAGCCTGAAAATAGTGTCCCAAAAGTCTTATGTCAATGAAATTCAAAGTTCCTCACTGAGCTCAGGCTTACTGCAACCATTTGGAATGGCAGTTAGGCCCCCTTCCCCGGTATGAATAGATTTGTTTTGCCTTCTCTAAGGTTTCCGTCGATCACATATCTACACATTTGCTATAGGCTAGATTTAATAGACACCTTCAGTTTTCAAGCAGAAAGTAGTTGGGTCAGATTTGGCATTTTATTTGAAGAAACAAGACTAGACATTTGAAAGAGAAGATAAAATTCTTGCTGATACAGCTAATTGAAAGAAAAAGAGGGCTTTAACGAAAAAGAAAAACAAATACTCACCTTAAAGACCTCAGAACCAGATGGGGCCGCTGGAGAGACAGTATTCCTGTACGGACAAGCACCTATGCTGTGAGACAGGTGTCCAAATTCTAATTCTGCACCAAAAATCTGAGTTCCTATTGCAGTAGAGACCGCTCTTGTAGAATGTGGCTCTAATAGACATGGGAGGAAATTTCCCAAAGAAAGTGATGTTTGAAGAGGATCCACTCTCACAGAGACATGCCAATGAAAAAAGTTATTCTCGATGCAATAGTGGGAACACACTATAATCTCCAGGTCAGGCTTCTCTTCTGGCATGACACTACACACAGCATCCCGGCCCCGGTTTACGACGTGACATGCATGCGTAGATGTCGTCACTCTAAAGACGCAGAATTGTGCCATGCTCAGCAGCCCCTCACATTTTGCTGGACACCCATGCGTCGATGTCATCAAACTAAACATCGCAGAAATCGCACCAATCTTGACGGCCAAAAAAGCGCATTATTCAGTATTCAGATTTGCTCGTCCCATTCAGGCTTTCCAATTGGCAATTCTGATTTCCGGTGCCTGTTTCTGGCTCTTTTTTATTGTTTATCGGATTTCTGGTGTTTATTGACTTTCGCTTATTTAATGTTTACTCAATTACTCTGTCCTACACCACCTCTAAGGATCATTAACACATTATTTTGTTTGATTACCTAAATTGGGTTTCATACTCTGTGTTTTGGCATTATAGACCATGACACTGTGGAAGAGCCTTTTCCCCCCCTTTGGCCAAAATGTGCATATTTAGAGGAAGTATCAGCTTACCAAGCTAGTAACCAAACAGCTCTCCCTCCAAAACTAGCAAGCCCCGTGTTTTTTTCTGCTAGATGTAAATGCTCACTCGAAGCATTGCACAGAAATTCTGAAGTCACTTTTACATTCTGGAGTAGATAGCCATATCTGTGCTGTTGCCACTGAAGGACATGTGATAAGGTCTTTACTGTGAAATGGAAGCTCAAAATATTCTTAGGATCATAGGATCCCTTCGATTCAAAATCTAACCTATATGAATGGTTTTCTTTTTCCCAATCTGTGCAACGGAAACATCAGCCTTGGGCACAAATTCTAAAAAAAAAAAAATAGATCTTTCTTTTTAAATGTAAAATGTATTTAAAATGCTTAGTGATTTAAGCTTTATTTCTCTGGGTTCTGTCATTCTCTGGTTATTGTGACAAAAACCCATATTTCTTTGTCCCCGTTATTTTTCCCTGCATTCGGTAGACTAATCTACCGAACACCGACCACTCCCCTGGCTCATTTAACTTCAAAGAAACCACAAACTTAAGTGCTCTCTCTGTGTGGCCGCCATTCGTATAACCGAACAACATCTTGTCTCCCGAAAGCAAGCAGTGGTATCTTGACAGTGGACAGTCGACCCTGCGGGCACCAATGATTTGATACGATCGCCTGCTTCCTTCGCCCGACAAGCCAGGAGAGCGCTGTTCGGTCTGACTGTTCACACGAACAAGGTGAACAATCGCTACCTATGAGCCAGGGGAACCATTTGACTTTTGTTTCGATTGGGAACTCCCGAAGGTGACCGACCTCTACCACTGATTCTCTGGAACGGATTTGGGCAGATGCTACGTGTGCGGTCAGTCAAAACTTTATCCCAGTGGCGATTCGGCTGTGTTTGTGGGATCTGAGCGCTATTTGGACATGTTGGGCGCTCAGATCCAGGCTATCCGGGGATATAATATTTGTGGGGGTTCCTATATGTGTTATATGTATTTTGGGGTAATTTAGGTTTTATATTTTGTACCTCTAGTGCCTGGGAGATAATTAGTTTAAGCATAGTACACTAAATTATCTCCCAAACACAGAGACTCCTGGGTGTGTTTTACTATGTCTTTGCTTTAGGCCCCATGCTGGGGATCTGTGTATATAACTGGGCCATCTGGCCATAATAAAAAGTTACAGTTGTACCCTTCATCAAGTCTCGACTGATGTTTGGGTATGCGAATGGTGAACCGATTGATTTTTCCCACGACCTTAGAATTTTGAGAGAGTACGAACCAGAGTACTATGCGAACAGGCTATAATCACTTAAGCCTCTAGCATTTCAGGAGTGTGCGAATGAACGGAGTATACGAACTAAAAGGGGTTCGTTACAGCCATTATATCCTTATATATGGGATGAAAGGGAAACACATTTACTTTTTTTTAGTGAGCATTCTCCTTCCACCATTTCCATAATATAATATACTTTTTTAATAAGTCTATGTAATTATTTATAAAAAAAAAAATGAATAAATAAAAAAAAAAAAAGGGAATGCATCATTGAATTAAGAACTGATTTGTATACATTCTTTAACTAGAACATATATTTATCAATTAAAGGAACACTCCGGTCACAAAAACGCCTTAATGTCAATAAAATTGTTATAGCGCCCGGAGTTTAACAACACAATCTCACCTTACAGTTTTTAAACAGTTTAACACTGGAGTCCCTCACAGGGTCTTTCTCTCCTACTGCAGCAGCATGGTTGGACTGAAAGCTGACCCTGTCAGCCTATCATTAGCTGCCCATAGCATAGCAAGCAAATGCTTAAAAAAAAATGTAGATTTTTTTAAATGTAGCCAATGATATGCTGAAAGCTTAAGCTGATACTCTCAGTCTATTACTGTTGCTGAAGCAAATGCTTACATGTTTCCGTGCAAAAAAACTCTCCTTATCCATATTTATCATAATGACACTATAAAAGTAAATAAGACAATTTATGTTTAAATCCTGATGGTTTTACACATACATTTGTCCTCAATAGGTTACTGAAGGTCGAAACATGTACACTTCACTTGTCCCTATTTTTGACAATGGTGAAAAGAAGTTCAAACCAAAAAAAAAAAATTAAAAGTATCAATAATAAATTAAAAAACTTATACAAAAAAATAAAATATAAATTGAACTGATTCAACAGCCAAAAGAAGAAGAGGTAGGACCAATTCTAGCCTGCACCTGAAGATATTTCACAGACAGACATTATGAAACATTACTGAAGAGTCACAGATCTTACTAATTAAAGGCAACAGTCTCACAATTACCTTAAAGAGTATTTTAGGAATTTACAGTTTAATCAGTTTGATAAAACAAATTGAATTAATTCACATAAATTAGGTAAATAGAAATATGCATGTTTTCATTATCGTTGATTCAAATGCATTGTTATAATAAAATAAAATATCCAAACCTCATCAATGCCTTCCTCTTCATGAAAGGTACGAGACAGAAAAAGACATGTCATAGTTTCTCCCTTTTTGGTGAACAGAATAAAATCTTTCCCAATTCGCATAGAACCACTGTTGAATTAAAAAGGGTAGATACTTTAGTGCATGCAAAACTAAAATACAAGCTGGATACTCTGGACACCAACAAAACATATGTATTTTAGCTAATTTGGCCCAAATAATTAGCTCTATTTCTATAAATTTTCCCCTTCCTTTGGCTTTAAGCATGTAAAGCTCCAAATCAATACACTACAAATGGATTCCTACTCCAGCCATCCATTGAGAGATGATAGGAAATTGTAAGAAGAGGGATGTGCAAGTTGTTTGAAGCATCACCTTACACCACAAAGTGCTTCATTCATAAGGCAAAGTAGCCTTTACCTTGTCTAATGACATCTTTCACTGCATTGTTATTTCAATTTCAAATTACATTGCAATGTATATATCAATATACAGACACACACACACACACTATATGGAGAAAAGTATTGGGACACGCCTCTCAAATACTGAATTACCGGTGTTTCAAATCAGACCAATAAAATCAAGCACCTTGCCATGTAGTCTGCCTTTACAAACATTTGTGAAAACATGGGCCATTCTAAAGAGGTCAGTGAAATCATGTGTGGTACTATAATAGGATGCCACCTTTGCAATGAATCGGTTTGTGAAATGTCATCCCTGTTAGATATTCCATGGTTAGCTGTGAGTGGTATTTTTGGAAAGTGGAAGCATTTAGGAACAGCAGCAACTCAATGGAAGACTACGTAAAGTCAGAGAGCGGAGTCACGTGCTTTGTAAAAGTTGCTGATTCCATTAGCTGAATATCAGCACAAAAACTGTGCAGCAGGAGCTTCATGGAATTAGTATTCATGGCCAAGCAGCTGCATGAAAGTCTCAGATCACCAAGTACAATGCCATGATCAAGTGGTGTAAACACACTGCTACTGGACTCTGGAGCAGTGGAAACATTCGGTGGAGTAACAAATCACTCTTCTGATTGGCAGTCTGAGGGGTGAGTCTGCATTTGGCAGATGCCGTGAGAACATTACCTGCCTGACTGCACTGTGTTAACTGTAAAGTTTGATGGAGCAGGGATAATAGTATAGGGCTGTTTTTCAGGGGTTGGGCTAGGCCCCTTACTTTTAGTGAAGGGAAATATTATGAATCAGCATACCAAGATATTTTGGACAATACTATGCTGCCAACTTTGTGGGAACAATTGAAGAAGGCCCTTTCCTATTATAACATGACTGTGCTCTAGTACACAAAACAAGGTTCATTAAGACATGGCTGAATGAGTTTGGTGAGTAAGAAATTGACGGCCCCGCACAGAGCCCTGACATCAACCCCATCAACCACCTTCAGGATGAATTGGAATGGAGACTGAGAGCCAGGCCTTCTTGTCCACCAGTACCACTTGTCTATATGTAGTGCTTGCCCTGGTGCCAAATCTGTGGCCATATAAATAAACATTTTTTTTTAAAATAAACAAAGACCACACATGGGTTTTTGATGCCCCCCCTCCCCCACCAAAAAAAAAAAAATCTACTGCCTTTATTATAACAGCATGTTGCAAATCACGTTTTTTCTTTTTTTTAATGTTTTGATTACTTTTTGTAGTAAATAAGCAAAAGCAACAGGGCTGTCTTAATCTGCACACATCTTAACAGCTTTAAAAACCGGAGCATGTACAGGCGATACTCGAAAAAAAATAGAGTGCATTTATTTCAGTAATGCAACGAAAAAGGGGAAACTAATATATGAGAGACGCATTACATGCAAAGCAAGATAGTTCAAGTGTGATGTGTCATAAGTGCGATGATTATGGCTTACAGCTCATGAAAACCTCAAATCCACAATCTCAGTAAATTAGAATATTGTGAAAAGGTGGAATATTCTAGGCTCACGGTGCCCCACTCTAATCAGCTAAGCCATAACACCTGCAAAGGGTTTCTGAACCTTTAAATGTTCTCTCAATCTGGTTCAGTAGGAATCACAATCATGGGGAAGACTGCTGACCTGACTGTTGTGCTGAAAACCATCATTGACACCCTCCATAAGCAGTGAAAGCCTCAAAAGGTAATTGCGAAGGAAGTTGGATGTTCCCAAAGTGCTGTATCAAAGCACATTAATAGAATATTATGTGGAAGGGAAAAGTGTGGAAGAAAAAGGTGCACAAGCAGCAGGGACGACCGCAGCCTGGAGAGGATTGTCAGGAAAAAAGCCTTTCAAAAGTGTTGGGGACTTTCACAAGGAGTGGACGGAGGGTGGAGTCAGTGCATCAAGAGCCACCACACACAGACGGATCCTGGACATTGTCTTCAGATGTCGTATTCCTCTTGTCAAGCCGCTCCTGAACAACAAACAACGTCAGAAGCATCTGACCTGGGCTAAAGAAAAACAGACGTGGTCTGTTGCTCAATGGTCCAAAGTCCTCTTTTCTGATGAGAGCAACTTTTGCATCTCATTTGGAAACCAAGGACCCAGAGCCTGGAGGAAGAATGGAGAGGCACACACTGCAAGATGCTTGAAGTCCAGTGTAACGTTTCCACAGTCTCTGTTGACTTGGGGAGCCATGTCATCTGCTGATGTTGGTCCACTGTGCTTCATTAAGTCCAGGGTCAACGCAGCCGTCTACCAAGAGATTTTGGAGCACTTCATGCTTCCTTCCGCAGACGGGCTTTATGGTGATGCTGACTTAATTTTCCAGCAGGAAAATGCCCACACTGCCAAAAGCACCAAAGCATGGTTCAATGACCGTGGGATTACTGTGCTTGATTGGCCAGCAAACTCGCCTGACCTGAACCCCATAGAGAATCTATGGGGCATTGCCAAGAGAAAGATGAGAGACATGAGACCAAACAATGCAGAAGAGCTGAAGGCCGCTATTGAAGCATCCAGGTCTTCCATAACACCTCAACAGTGTCACAGGCTAATAGCTTCCATGCCACGCCGCATTGAGGAAGTAATTGCTGCAAAAGGGGCCCAAACCAAGTACTGAATCCATTTGCATGCTTATAATTTTCAGAGGTCCGATATTGTTCTATGTACACTCCTTTTATTGATTGTATGTAATATTCTAAATTACTGAGATTGTGGATAAGGGGTTTTCATGAGCTGTAAGCCATAATCATCGCACTTATGACAAATCAAGGCTTGAACTATCTTGCTTTGCATGTAATGCGTCTATCTCATATATTCGTTTCCCCTTTTACATTGCATTACTGAAATAAATGAACTTTTGCACGATATTCTAATTTTTAGAGTATCACCTGTACATCGGAAACAAAACCTTTTGGCAATGACAAAAGCACAAAACAGCAAACACTATTAAAATATTATAATACTACTAAAAAAATGTCTTCCTACAAAATTCCATGCAACTACTTACGATTTTAAGCCATTTCCATATTGTCCAATTTGAATAGATTCTGGGGTTCTTTTAGCAGAACGACCAAATTGAATAACACCAGCAGATTCACCTAAAGTAATAAATTAAAAACACAAACAATTTTTTTTTTTATTTTTTTTTATCATTTAATAAGACCTTTCCTGAAAGAAAAAACAAGCATCATTATTCAAAAGTTAGGTAATGCTAGTTTTCTGTCAATCTGAGATAGTCTAGAAACATAGAATGTGATGGCAGATAAGATCCATTAGGCCCATTAGTCCCTGGCCTTACTTTATAGTTAGGATAGCCTTATGCCTATCCTGCACATATTTAAACTCCTTCACTATGTTAACCTCTACCACTTCAGCTGGAAGGCTATTCCATGCATCCACTACCCTCTCAGTAAAGTAATACTTCCTGATATTTTTAAACCTTTGCCCCTCTAATTTAAGACTATGTCCTCTTGTTGTGGTAGTTTTTCTGCTTTTAAATAAAGTCTCCTCCTTTACTGTGTTGATTCCCTTTATATATTTAAATGTTTCTATCATATCCCCGGTTTCGTCTTTCCTCCAAGATATACATGTTAAGATCCTTTAACCTTTCCTTGAAAGTTTTATCCTGCAATCCATGAACCAGTTTAGTAGCCCTTCTCTGACCTCTCTCTAAAGCAGGCCTGTCCAACCTGTGGCCCCCCAGATGTTGCCAACTACAACTCCCATGATTCTTTCAATGAAACAGATAGCCAGGGAATCATGGGAGTTGTAGTTCAGCAACATCTGGGGGGCCCCAGGTTGGACAGCCCTGCTCTAAAGTATCAATATCCTTCAGGAGATACGGTCTCCAGTACTGCGTAAAATACTCCAAGTGAGGTCTCACTAGTGTTCTGTACAATGGCATGAACACTTCCCACTTTCTACTGCTAATACCTCTCCCTATACAACCAAGCATCCTGCTAGCATTTCCTGCTGCTCAATTTCATTGTCTGCCTACCTTTAAGTCTTTAGAAATAATCACCCCTAAATCCCTATCCTCGGATGTTGAGTTTAGTACTCAAAATATTCTGTACCCTTGGGTTTTTACATCCAAGATGCATTATCTTGCACTTATCCACATTAAATGTCAGTTGCCACAATTCTGACCATTTTTCTAGTTTACCTAAATCATTTGGCATATCCCTCCTGGAACATCAACCCTGTTACATATCTTAGTATCATCAGCAAAAAGACATACCTTACCATCAAAACCTTCTGCAATATCACTAATAAAAATATTAAAGCGAATGTATCCAAGTACAGATCCCTGAGGTACCCCACTGGTGACAAGCCCATGCTTTGAATATACACCATTGACTACAACCCTCTGTTGCCTGTCACTCAGCCACTGCCTTACCCATTCAACAATATTGGAATCCAAACTTAAAGATTGCAGTTTATTGATAAGCCTTCAATGTGCAACAGTGTCAAAAGCCTTACTGAAATCTAGGTAAGCAATGTCTACTGCACCACCAATTTAGTCTTTTACTCTTGTAGTTTGGTTTGTACTCACTTGGATCCATTCCTGCTCCGTCATCAAGAAAACAAAGCATAAAGCCACCCCTCAAATCTTCTCTTTGCACTGAAAAAAAAACAAAAAACGGCTACTTCAGAAATTGTATGCATGTACAAAATTAAGAACTAAACAATTAAAAATGTATTTGTTAGGCAACGGAGTAGAACACTTTTTTTTACAACCAGAAGAAATTAGGCAATGACAAAATACCAAGTCAACAGTCCATAGTAGCCAACTACAGTGGTACCTCGGTTTACGAATTTAATGCGTTCTCCGGGACGTTTTGTATTGCGAAATATTTGTAAACCGAAACATGGTTTCCCATAGGAATGCATTGAAAACCAATTAATACGTTCTGGAGGTCCAACTACAGTCAACATAAGCTGGCATGGAAACCAACCCGTAATGCAGAACACACAGTAAAATGCACGAAAACGACAAAGCTCAGCTCCCTACCTTACCACCGCTTGAGAAATGCACCAAGAAAGTTTTTAAGAAGTCCCAACATTTTTTCCAGAATGGCTCCAAAACTCGATGCAAAAGCCGCTCCAACACCTCCACACTTGACACCACGTGCTACCCATAGCTCCAGCATGCATGGGGGCGGCGCTATAAACTTCCCAGGCGCAATGCATGCTGGGGAAACTTGCTTTGTATTGCAACATTTTTTTTGTAAACCAAGGCATTACTTTCAATGGATTTTCATTTGTAAACCGAAAATTATGTTAACCGAGGCGTTTGTAAACCGAGGTACCACTGTACATTCTATGCGCTCTGTGCGAATGAGATGAATGTAGTTTGTTGAATTTCTAACTGGAAAGTATGCAAATTAAGTACATGGAGATGGCAGAATTTGTGTTGCCTAAAACATACCTGTAAAAATGTCAATTTTTGTAGCATCTGCATCTCTATAAAAACAAAAAGAGCAAATTATATAGCTTTTCAAACTAGAGAGATGAATAGCAATAGTCAATATAATCAAACAAAACACACATTTATGTGGTTCACAAGACAAAGATGAATGCCTTGAGATTCAATGTCATATAAAAATATAACAGACTAAATATATAAACTAATATACATACACACAATCACAATAGCATTATTAAGGGACGAGCTTCAAAAAAGGACATTTTTCTTTCTAAACATGGGTGGCTGCTGCCATCTTTAGTTGCCTTTCGGTGACTTCAGTGAAACAGCCAACATAACTGCTGAACTTTCAAATGGGCAAGCCAGTACAAAAGAGATCAATGCTAGATCCTGGTAATGACGGCTGCAGGAATGACAAACCTTGATCGCAGACGCTTCACCTCTTACCTACCTGCAAAATCTTCATAGGACAAAACAGTCCAGTTTTGTCATACGATCTCTTAATTGCATTTTGATGTTCCAGAGCTTCCAATGCAATTGTGAGTATTTGTAGTGATTCTCTCTAAATACTTACAGAGTCACTTGGAAATAAAATTCACTTGATTAATGTAAAATTAATTTCAAAAGTTGAAAAAAAATATCTAGGTTACAGTGTCCAATTTTTTTTTTAGTAGCACCAAAAAACTAGCATGAGGTTCATATTGGCGTAAGTGTACACATAGGGTTATCGTTATCTTTCATGCTAAAAAGACCAGCCTTGCATTTAGGACAGGAGTGACCTAGTAGGAAGGACCGGTCTGTTCTGATCACTCCAATTTTTTTTGGGGTAGTAAAAAGTTTAAATTTGATGTAGTTGTAATTCTAAACAATTGAGCCTTGCCTTCTCGTAATTTCAAAGATTGTTATTTCTAATCGTAAAATAAAAGTAGTGGTAAATAAGACTCAGTGTCTTCCACTCAGGGTAGAAAATCATGCAAAATTTCTAGCCTTTTTTTATTCTGTCAAACTTGATAGAAATACAAGTTTCTTTTTTTAAAACCATAATAAATTCTGAGATGAAAGTATAAGTGTTGATCCAAGTAGAGGAGGCAAGACTTGTAAAGACAATCCGTGCAAATACAGTCCTCTTCAGGCTGCTGTTTTCACCAAATTAAAAGATTTAATTTCTTTGTCAAAAACTATGTTCATTATTATGATTCCCAAATCAAGATTCTGCCAATGCCTGTAAAAATTGCACAACTGGCATCAGTCACCAATAGAGCCAAACGCACAGAGGCAACTTTTCCCTTCTCTATGAGCTTTATAAATCCATGGGATAAATCTTATTTGCATGCAAAATACTCACGAATTAGTGTGTAGATATTCGAAGGTCAACTGTGCACGATTTAGACTGCTGTAGTTTGTAAAAGCCATGATGTCAAAATTTGAAAGAAATATGTATAGATAATAAACTGAAAATTTAGGTAGTGCTATCTTGGTAGACCTGTTCAATATGGTTAGATGTGGCCCTATGGAATGTCTTCTTTATAGTTCAAAATTCCATGTATCTATTCAGCAGATAAGTTTGCTAGACATTTCCCGCCTACAATCTCAAAGAACCCTACCATTAAACAAGATGTGAACGTTTGCTTTGTTCTGTTGTATCCAGCGCCCCTGACAAAACCTAAACACACAAATCTCCTTTTTCCCTGCCGCCCTAAAAAATAAAATGTAACAGCTTGTGTTGCAGTAGCAGCACTGTCTTGCAATACGGTTTACTTAGTCCTTTACACCCAATTGGTTCTGTCTTACAAGACTTCAACATTGGTTCTATGTCTTACAAGACTTCAACACAGCCATTTTTTTCCCCCCATCAATAGTCTTATCACCATGGTTTTCCTTAACCAAATCCTTAAGATATTAATATGTATCTTTCAACACCTTTCACTTAAAAAAATCCAAAAATATTGTACAGCTCAAAAACCTATAGAACACCTCAAAAGTGTTTTAAATTTTATAAGCATTCCTTCCATCCATTACAAAAAAAAAAGCCGAGGTGTCCAATCCCAAACAAAGTCTGGTGGCAAAAAAAAAAAACCCCTTAATGTCCACCAACTGCCACCATGCTCGACTACAGCACGTTCCACGTGAAACCACCAGGACCTTATCGTTTCACTAGATCTTCTTTGCTCTGAGCCGCTAGCTTCTCTCATCAAACCATACACCACAGCTCTCTGAAACCTAACAACGTGCACCTCCCCCAAGTCTCTACGACTCGTTTCCGGTCCAGCCCCGCCGCCTCTTCCGCAGTGCGCCAAGCTAGCTGGCGCCCGATGTTGCTGTGGGCACGTCTAATCGACGCGTGAGTAACGGCTAAAAGGCGGTTGCGATCGCGCTCGAGACCCTCCCGCTCTTTTATCCCTGCCAACGATCGAAATGCCTCGTGCACTCCGTGAACAAAAGCATTGTGGAGTACGCCTTCTCCGACGCCGTGATTGGCTTAGGCGGCCTGCATTCCACCAATCGCGTTGCCCCAGGAGGAGGTTCGCAGCGATGTGGTTGGACCAGTCGAGGTTGCTAGAAGGGTGTGGTTAAGTCTCGCCCTGTCGTCACTGCACTGTTAGTCTCCGCCCCGGGGACGTGGCTATTTGCTGGTTCGCTGATTGGCTTTTAGGGGGGGCTAGAACCAAGCAGGACTCCATTTTAGGTCGTTCTCGAGACAAAAGATCCTCTTTGACTCTGGGGAGCGTGCGTCGTTTCACCCAGGGGCTTGAATAGGAAACATTTTAATGATTATTTTCCGTATGTTATTTCCTTTCGGGGTTTCGTCGTCTTGAGATTTGCACCCGTAAGCTGCTGCGCACAAATGAGTTCATTTGTATTTTAAGTAACTCTTCATAACAACCGGTCCGACGTGTAACCCGAGCATTTGGTAGTTTTTTTCTACCCGGAACACGGTACATGGCGAGCACCGAGAGAGGCGGTGGATCGTAACGCACGGAGGGCGCGGGCTTTCAGGCAACTCGTGCAGTGTAACGGCTTCTAGTCAACGTCATGTGGGCGCCGATAATTGCGAGAGAAGAAATTGTCGGTTAAATTATTGCTGAACGCGTCTGACCTCGCTTACCAGGCATTCTGGTTTCCGAGGTTTGCTGGGATGTAAACACTTTGTAATAGAACATCGTTTACTATTTAGCTATTTTTTCCGCGTATAACTTCCCAGCTTGTGTTCAGTCAGTTTAAAAAAAAAAAAAAATATATATATATATATATATATATATATATATATCTATCTATCTATCTATCGCCAAATGTACGTTTTTCTAAGTAAACTCTGAATCTTTAGCTCATCCAAGGCAACTGTGAGCTAAAGATTATAACGTAGGTTATAGCAAGGTAAATACCAGACAGACTTTTGTGAATTGCTAGCCAATTGGCATGTGGCTCATAAATTTTGTAGTTTAGTGAATCGCTGGAGATTTACTAAGTAGCTGGCGTGTAGAAAATGGTCTATAAAGGGTGAGAAACATGATGTAATATTTAGACTCTTTTTCAACACTCACGTGTATTTATATGTTGGCCAAGTTGCTGGCATATCTATAGGTTAAGTGCAATATTTTTTGTTTAAATTTTAGGGTTTTAGTGTGGTAACAACAAACTTAATTTGTGGCTTGTTTAATGCCAATGTGGCAGCCATCTTGTGGAGAATAGAAACCATCAGTCTGAGCTTTTGCTTTTTGAGTGGTGGTTAATTTCTACATGAAGAAATATCAGTTATATTGCTGGATAATAGGGCAGTTATTTCTTTTTCACCATTCTGAATCCATTAAAAGGATTTTTTTTCATGGGGTATTAAGCTTTGTCCTGAATTCTGGACTGTTCCTTTTAAACAGACTTTTTTTATTATTATTATTAGTGCAAGCATCTTAACCTATTACTGTTTTTATCAACACTGCAGTATCTATCCTAAATCTTTGCTTTTATTTGTTTTCTACCAGACTGCATATTTATGGCTTTTACACAGTCTGTTGTAACGCACACCTTTCTGGGAATCAATTTTGTGAGGAAAAGGGCTTAATTTGCTCATGGTTAAATAGTTCCATTAGCATCCTGCCAAATGTTAAAACTTTCCTTGAATCCAGTTAATGTTCAAATAATTTTGGGAGAAACAAGTTATAGTTATAAGTGTATGTCAACTAAAAGTTGTAGGGGCAGTTTAAGGAAAGAAAGAAGAAGCTTAAAATACAACATGTGACTGTTTAAAGACACTTCCTGTCCACCATCTGTTTAAAAGAGCATCTTTGTGGGGAAGATTATTGCAAGGCAATAATCTGAGAATATGGCTCATTGCTACAGCAGTTTGGTAGTCCATCTGCAAAACTTAAGATGTCTCTGAAACATAATTACATTCAAACTGAATGTACCAAAAGTGTTGGGACCGCCCTTTTTCTTTACGTTGCTGTAAAGCGATTGTAGTATATTAAATATATTTAAAGAAAGATTGCATGAAAAAGTGTAAATATATTTTCGTTTTTTTGATTTGCATTTTTTCCTTTGTCGGCTGTGTATATGGAAAACTGCACATTTTTTGTGTGTGAATATCTCTACCTATGCCCAGAAGATGTGAAATGCCTCTAAATGTATTTTAAACCAGGTGTAGCGGGATATTCTACAATTCTCCAGGAAGAAAAAACTCAATTTTAGGAAAGTATTTAGACATTTTTCTTCTCTGAATGCAAGACGTAACTATATAAAGGTTTAATGTTCATTAGACCTGGTGATATTTACATAAACAACTAATTTCTTACATTTAACTATATTTTGGGGCATCATCCTCTTAAAATTTGGAAACCTTACTTGTTCTAGCAGTTGATTTTGTCAAGTGGTCTAATATTTCTTGGTCAATATGACTACGTGGAGCAAGAATCAAAGCAAATGACTTCTACAAGACGACTGCCTCTGCCAGCACAGATTGTCCATCATGCTTAACAGTTTGCAGCAAACATTGAGAAAAGAAGACCTATCTTTACCAGAAGTTGAGCTGTGAAGATAGAAAATGTAACACAAGCTACTTAACTCTTCCTTTTTATTTTTTATTGCGTTCTCATTGCACTTGGTTCTGTGAGTTGTTCTCCGTAAAACCAGGTTATGTGCCTTTTATAGAGTTGTTTTGTTTTTTTTTTTATAAAGGAAACCCTACTATAAATATCTGCTTTGTGAAGTACAGTTTTTGATGATGCAGCTCCGTAGAATCATATTGGACGTTGACTAATTTCTTTGGCTGATGCAGTTTGTCGATGTAATGGATACTTGGTTTTTGTTTTTGGTTCAAACCCCAATATGTGTTTTTTTTTCTTCAAATTTTAGACAAATTGACACTAATTTTTGCTCTTTAAAAGCTTGGAACCACTTGGGTAGCATTATCCTTTTCGTGGATCTAGTAACCCACAAGTGCGTATAAAGATTTATAGTGGATTTTATCAGGACTACATGCATTGTAGGCCTACTGATTTCGGTGTGATTTTCAATTTGCTTAATCTCTATTGTACTGATCGGGCTTATGTTATTGCCTTTTGTTCAGTGTGGTTTTTAGTTCTTTGCATGTATTATGTGAATCCTTAAGCCTAATATTTGATGCATACTTTTTTTTTTTTTTTTTCTGAAAAGGTAGGCCAGCAATTTGCCTCAGGATGAATTAAATGTGCAATCGCATGTACCAAATGGCTTGGGTCCTGTAGACACTACTAGTAAAGTCTGCACTTGTGATTCAGCTGTAACAGTGCCGGACTTATGCGATTGGTACTGCCAAGAGACCTTCTGTTTCACATATGAATAATAATGTAATGTTTTTTTAGTTTACATAGGAATTTTATTTAAAGTTGACATCCTTTGTCTTCCTGACTAATTGTGCAAAGGTATGGTTTATGATCTCCATTCTCATAGGCTTTGTCCTGGTGACCTAAGATACTCAATATGCAGACCTTAAGTCCTACAAGAAACCTTCTATAATCTAAAGGCAAACCTTCAGCCTGTTAAAAAGCTCAAAGTATTTGCTCAGATCTAGATGATCAGATAACCAAAGGACATGTTGAGGGTTACAGGGAGTAGAATAAATGAAGACAAAGATGTGTGAAATACCAAAAGGATACTGTAATGTGTTGGAAGTACAAGGAAGAGAACACCTGAAATGGAATATATGTATTATGTGGGCCACACAGCTAAAGCACCCTGTCTTTCTCTTCATGCTGCAACTACTGTTCTCATTCAGTCTGCCTCTTCTTAGATGCGACTATATTTACATCAAACACTTTTTTAAAGGTTGGGGGGGGGGTTGTTTTCACTTTCTCGTAGCTTTTGATTACAGCTAAGACAAGGAGCTGAGGCAAACAAATCCTATTCTAAAGCTGGAAGCAGGATTTTTATCTGCTCCTGTTCAACAGTTGAGTCTACGCAACCTACCATTTTGCATTTTAGAATGCTGTCGTCTCTAAAGCTAGAGGAGATTCTATGTAAAATAGGTCAGTCTTCTAAGCCCTTAAACAAACATAACTTTTATGAACCAGTGAGGAATTGTGACAGGTTATAGAGTGCTAATGGTTATCATAATGGCACAATACATACTGAGAATCTTTGCATGCTCTGTATCTCTATTGAGTTTCCCAGATTTTAACTTCTCACGTTTTTCAAAAGCCAGGAGTGCAAAATGTCTGCAATACCCTAAAGGCTGAGCTAGCCAACCAAGTCCTTTCTCCCAAGACTTTTGGTTCTGACCTTTGTCTAAAGAGAAGATCTTTTGTTTCCAGTACTTATTGAGAAGAATGGTTATCCTTTATTTCATTTCTCTAAATTAGCTTGGTGTTTTGGTGAATAACAAACCAAATTTGCGTTGTCTAAGGAGTTCTGGTTACCAAGGATCAATCGGGAACTGATAAAGCTTATCCAAGGTTCTAAAAAAGCACCCATATAGTTTAATGTTGCCTTTTAGCGGTGAATTATAGTGCAATGAACAAATGTCTCATACTTCCATTATCTCAAATATTTTACAATGAGGTTGTAAAAGTCAATGTGGTTTGCTCCAGGGAATTGTCTCACGTAAGGGGAGTCAGTTTGTTGGTTTTTTGTTTGGTTTTTTTGAGTTTGGCATACTGCTATTCTTTTTTTTTTTTTGACAATCTTTATTTATGTATTCAGTTTTACAATTTTGAAAGGATGGGTGTACAGAAGGGAAAAGGGTGGGAAGTCAAACAGTTATTTGTAGTGCACCAATGCAGTGATAGATATCCATAATAGCATAACAATATCCATTTCCGTGTTTATAGATCACACAGTAGTTGAGAGCTGTGGGTATATCCATTATCAAGTGCAATTCGACCTGTTCTGTATCTGTGAGTGTCCTATGTCTTTGATATTCTCATACCCCCAACCATTTGGGACCTCTTGCAGCTCAAGGCGTGATATTCGTGGGAGGGGTGTGGGGCCCAGCCAAGTGCAAGTTTGTAGAGGCTGTATGTGTGGGTGGGTTTGCTTGTGGCGGGGCTTTCCGGCGGGTTTGTTTAGGGCTTTTCAAATGTTGTGGCTAGGGTGTCCTGTCCCGTCCCACCTGTGTCCAGGTGTACGAGCCCTGTAGGAAATGTTCTTTTCTGTGGTTGGGGAGCATGAGTATGAGATATGTCCCACGGGTGTGCGAGCCTAGCAGGTGGTATTGCATGTGTGTTGTTGGGTTGCTTCTGGGGCTAAAAGCTATGGGGTCTATTGTGCGGTGGATCTAGCTTATGGGCCATTAGATTTTTGGGCGTTTAGGGTATCTTGTGTGTTTCTGTCCCTTAATATCGCTTTTGTGAGTTCTATCTGCTGTCCCTCTGTGGATCCGTGTTTGGTATGGAACATCTGTATATGTTCTCTTGGATTAAATGTCTCAGTCAAGTACGTGGTGTGGGGTGGTCTGGTCAAGCAGAAGTCAAGAGGCTGAGGGGGTTACATGGGGTGGGGTGGCGGGTGTAGTCTAGCTGGGGAAAAGAGGAAGCAAGATTAGGAGTAAGGCGGGAGAGGGCATCGGTAACTTATCGGAGCAAAGTTTTTCATGAGGCTGAGCCTGCTGCTGCGGTGTATAGGATCCAGGGGGTCCAGGTTAGGTGGCATTTCTCCGAATGGCCCCGGAGGGCTGCTGTCATGGACTCCATGGAATGTATTTCTCCCACTCTATCCACCCATTGTTGGAAGGTGGGGGAAGTCGGTTTTTTCCACAGGGTGGGTATCAGTGATTTAGCTGCAGTCAGTAGGTGTCTAGTGAGGGATTTTTTGTATGTTTGCAGCGAAATGCTGGTGTGATGTAGTAGCATGGGTAGGGGTTGAAGTGGGAGCTCAGGGTCTGATATCTCTCGTATTTTGGTGTTTACCATCTCCCAGAATGGGACGATGGCTGGGCAGGTCCACCATATGTGGATCATGGTGCCTCTCTCTGCTCCGCATCTCCAGCAATTTTCGTCATTGTCCGGGTTCATGCGATGCATTATGTCAGGGGTTCGGTACCAGGTGGTTAGTAGTTTATAGCTCATCTCCTGGAATTTTGGCATACTGCTATTCTTAAGCTTACGACTCAGGCTAATGGAGCAGACTGTGCTGACCAGTATTTGGTATCTGAGACTGTAGGTGCTTGATTTCTAGCCACTTGGATAATTAGTCTGACCTGCCTATATGAACTCACCAGGGATAATGCCACTCTTGCTTCTTAATGGCAACTGCCATCAACTTTAAAAACCTATATGTGATTTTCTTATCTGAGAAGGGAACAGTACCAGTGGTATTCCTATACCTGAAATCAAGGACGAGTTGTAAAGTTTAAGAGAAATTGTTTAGCACCTCTTGAGTAACCCCTTCGTGTCACAATCATTTGTAGCACAAACTAGAATCGATGCTTGTCTGGATCTTTGTCAGAACGAATAATATTGACCTATTTTGGAACACTCAAGTTATGGGGTACGTGGGAAATAGTGACCCAAATACGTATGATCACTTAAAATAATAAAAATGTATATGTCTTTAAGAAACATTTAAATGGACTAAGGGCATCTTTACAACCAAACTGATCCAGAAACTATACACTAACAAAACACAGAGGATAAATGGAAGGACATTAAACAAATCCTACAAAAGTGCCTTTCTCAATACATATTGGGAAACCAAAATGAAAACAAATGTGTCTTTATAAAAAGGCCAGTCAAGTAATCAATAGTATGTATGTAATCAGTTGGGTCAATAGCATCCTGTTACAAATATAAGTTTGCCATCAAGGCTTGCAAATGGGCAATTAGGTTAAACTACACTGAACAAAATTTATAAATGCAAAACGTTTTTTTGCCCCCATTTTAAATGAGCTGAACTCAAAGATCAAAGACCTTTTTTTTTTTTTTTTTTTTTAAAAGGCCTATTTCACTCAAATATTCACAAATTTGTCTAAATCTGTGTTAGTGAGCACTTCTCCTTTGTTGAGATAATCCATCCACCTCATAGGTGTGGCATATCAGGATGCTGATTAGACAGCATGATTACTGCACAGGTGTGCCTTAGGCTGGCCACAATAATAGGCCACTCTAAAATGTGCAGTTTTATCAAACAGCCAAATGCCACAGATGTTGCAAGTTTTGAGGGAGCGTGCAATTGGCATGCTGACTGCAGGAATGTCCACCAGAGCTGTTGCCCGTTACTCGAATGCTCATTTCGCGGCTACCATGAGCAGTCTCCAAAATAATTTCAGAGAATTTGGCAGTACATCCAACCGTCCTCACAACCGCAGACCACGTGTAACCAAACCTGCACAAGACCTCCACATCCAGCATCTTCACCTCCAAGATCGTCTGAGACAAGCCACCCGGACAGCTACTGCAACAATCAGTTTGCATAACTAAAGAATTTCTGTACAAACTGTCAGACCGTCTCAGGGAAGCTCATCTGCATGCGCGTCGTCCTTATTGGGGTCTCAACCTGACTACAGTTCGTCATTGTAACTGACTTGAGTGGGAAAATGTTCACATTCGATGGCGTCTGGCACTTTGGAGAGGTGTTCTCTTCACGGATAAACTCCCAGTTTTCACTGTACATGGCAGACAGCATGTATAGCATCGTGTGGGTGAGAGTTTTGCTGATGTGAATGTTGTGGATTGAGTGGTCCATGGTGGCGGTGGGGTTATGGTATGGGTGGGCGTATGTTATGGACAATTAACACAGGTGCATTTTATTGATTGCATTTTGAATGCCCAGAGATACTGTGACAAGATCCTGAGGCCCATTGTTGTGCCATTCATCCACAACCATCCCCTCATGTTGCAGCATGATAATGCATGGCCCCATGTTGCAAGGATCTGTACACAATTCCTGCAAGCTGAAAACATCCCAGTTCTTGCATGGCCAGCATACTCACCAGACAAGTCACCCATTGAACATGTTTGGGATGCTCTGGATCGGCGTTTACAACAGCGTGTTCCAGGTTCTGCCAATATCCACAATAAGCCATTGAAGAGGAGTGGACAGGCCACAATCAACAACCTGATCAACTTTAGGCGAAGGAGAGGTGTTGCACTACATGAGGCAAATGGTCGTCACACCAGATACTGACTGGTTTTCAGAGCCCCCCAATACAGTAAAACTGCACATTTTAGAGTGGCCTTTTATTGGGGCAAGCCTAAGGGACACCTGTGTGATAATCATGCTGTCTAATCAGCATCTTGATATGCCACACCTGTGAGGAGGATGGATTATCTCGGCAAAGGAGAAGTGCTCACTAACATAGATTTACACATTTTTGTGAATAATATTTGAGAGAAATGGGCCTTTTGTATACATAGAAAAAGTCTTAGATCTTTGAGATCAGCTCATGAAAAACAAGTGTTGCGTTTATAATTTTGTTCAGTGTAGAAAAATAAATGTTTAAATCCAAAGAGAACAAGACAAAACCCCATTTTATATAAACAGGTAATGTAAGAGTAGCTTGTCATGCTAGAGCACTGTGAGAAGGATCTGCAAACTTTCAAATAATTAGTAATCACAGTAATTGATGTTCCTAGTGGATCTGGTTACCACAAAGACCAATTTACAGATCTATATAATAGTCATGTGAAACAATAAAAATGTGAAGGAAAGAGAGAAGAAAAATAAATTACGTGTAGGTAGTACCTTAGTATGTAGAGACAAAACACTCATGGGTACAATATGGTTGCTAGGTCAACCAGTACTATCCCGACTGATCTGCAAGTGAACTGACTGCAGTGAATGTGTTCGTATGGTGGTTAAAGCAAATCTAACTTAATGGGGCAAATTGTACAGTGAAAATAGAGAGAACTTTATGCCAGTTTTGCTTTCGGTTGAGGCCTTCTGAGCTCTACTATGGAACATCAGCATTGGTCTCACCTTATCCGGTGCCGTTGCGTCACCTACATGTTGCCACTCTCTTTAAGATAAGAACGGTATCTGCAGTGGTCTGGAGAGCCATTGTTTACAGTTGATGAGTTGCATTAACAACGAAACAGCTGTCCATAAGTGGTTCACTGGTTTTGCATCTTTTCCTAAGTTGTGTTCCAAGCTGTTGTATACAGCAAACACAGACTAAAAGGAATCCATGTTTAAACTGGAATGAGGCAAAAAATGTGATTCTTTGTTTAACTAATTTGCATATGCCCACCCAGAATCCTTTGCGGTAGTAACATCACTGCAGATTTGTGATTTTTCTGGGAAAAGCAAGTCTTATGGTTTGACTGGTGTGCAGATTTAACCATAGCCTTTTTGGATTTTGCTTCCCTATATATATTTTAGAGATCATTGAACAAGTAACTATAAATTCACCAATTTAAATATTGTAAATATATATTGAGGATATTAATATAAAAAAATGGAAGGAGAATGGTTTGGTAAAATTAGCTGATATCTTAAACCTGGATTTGCAAATATAATCGTTGCAACAAATTCTTATAGAAACAAAAGGTCTTAATAAAGAACAATTCATATATATTAGAATTAACCATTTTTATTCAATCTAACCCTATATATATAACTTCTCAGTTATAGATAATATCCTTAAGATAGAACATAAGAATAATATGGTCTCAAATAAGGTTCTATATAGCAGGTATAATAAGGATAAAATGAAATCTATACTGAAGTGGGAAAATGATATTGGAAGTGAGTTTTCATTAGATCAATGGAAGGAATTATTTGATTTGCTTAAAAAAGCGATACATTGTATAAGTTTATATGAACTACAGATTAAATTGGTTCATACGTGGTATATGGTCCCAGCGAGAGTTGTAAGATTCCACTCCCCTACAGACTCAGACTGCTGGAGATGTCTTAGACACGAGGGAACTCTGAAACATATTTGGTCGGATTGTTATATTCTTGACTCTTTAAAGCAAGCGACATCTACAAAAATCAAGAATATTTTAAAAAAACAATGAACCTCTCTCCACAATTATTTTTGTTACATATGAATATTCCTACTAAAAGTAAACTTATAAAATATTTAATTATTCATATATTAATGGCGGATAAAATTTGCATCGCCAGATATTGGAAAACAGTAAATATACCCTCATGGAGAGAGGTGGAATTTCAAATAGGATATCAGCAATTAATGGAGAAACAGGTATATAGAAATCTCAGTATGACAAATATACACACCAAGATATAGGAACCCTGGACAACCAAGACATCCATTAACCAATAATTTAGAGCATAAAAAATAAAACTGGTCCTTAAAGTTAGAAACTTTCATCAGATATTCTCTAATGGCTTTGGTGCACTGTTTGAATGAGTAGATTGTCTTGTATGTTTTATGTCTCAACATATTTGCTGGTATAGATTACAATGGTACATTTGGTTGGATATTGATACCCTATAGCCGGTCTTACGTCTAATAAAAATAAAAAAAATTTTTTTTAGAGACTCCATTTTATATATATATATATATATACACACTCAACAACAGCCAGTGTTATCTCTGTATTATGAATTTGCGTAATTAAGTTAGGTTCGCTTGAACCCCCATAGTAATACATTCACTGCAAGGTCAGTTAACTTGTAGATAACTGCCAGGATAGCACCAATTTTCCCAATAAAAGCATTGTGTGTGTGTGTGTTTGTGTGTGTATATATATATATATATATATATATATATATATATATATATATATATATATAAAATCTCACTAAAGTGAGTACACACCTTACATTTTTGTAAATATTTTATTGGTTTTTTTCATGTGACAACACTGAAGAAATCACAGTCTGCTACAATGTAAAGTAGTAAGTGTACTGCCTGTATAACTGTAAATGTGCTGTCCCCTCAAAATAACTCAACACACAGCTATTAGTGTCTAAACTGTTGGCAACAAAAGTGAGTACACCTCTAAGTGGAAATGTCCAAATTGGCCCCAAAGTGTCAATATTTTGTGTGGCCATCATTATTTTCCAGCACTACCTTAACCCTCATGGGCATGGGGTTCACCAGAGCTTCACAAGTTGCCACTGGAGTCCACTTCCATGACGACATAATGGAGCTGATGGATATTAGAGACCTTGCGCTCCCCCACCTTCCGTTTGAGGATGCCCCACAGATGCTCAATAGGGTTTAGGTCTGGAGACATGCTTGGTCAGTCCATCACCTTTACCTTCAGCTTCTTTAGCAAGGCAGTGATCGTCTTGGAGGTGTGTTTGGGGTCGTTATCATGTTGGAATACTGCCCTGCAGCCCAGTCTCTGAAGGGAGTGGATCATGCTCTGCTTCAGTATGTCCCAGTACGTGTTGGCATTCATGGTCCTCTCAATGAACTGTAGCTCCCCAGTGCTGGTAGAATTTATGCAGGCCCAGACCATGACACTCCCACCACCATGCTTGACTGTAGGCCAGACACATTTGTCTTTGTGCTCCTCACCTGGTTGCTGACATACGCTTGACACCATCTGAACCAAATAAGTTTATATTGGTCTCAAAGACCACAGGACATGGTTCCAGTAATCCAGTCATTCCTCAGTGGAATAAGAAAATTCCCATATGGCAAAGAAAGAATACTGAAGGTAATATGCTGGGTGCAAATGTAATGAGAACAGAAGGCATACTGATATACCTCTGTGATGATGTTTTGTGGAAAAATACAAGAGTGAGAAAGCCTGTTTTCCTAGATGCAACGCTACCTCAAGGCTTTCATAGCTCTCCAACAAATTTCCACAAGATTTTAGCAACGGAATTAGAAGCATTCTTTTCTCCATCCAGTGTAATACAATATGTATATGATATAACAGAGACCGAACAACAACCTATAGATTTGTTTAGGGAATTGTTTGGCTTGAAAAAATGCTGGATTCAGGCTAGACACTTCAAAGGAGCATTTTCTCAGACCAAAGGTAAAATTTTTGGGAGTAGCTAGCACAGCTACCCAATTAAAGAAAGAGTGATAGCAATCTTAGAAGTCCCTAGACCTTTTAACAAGCAATCCTTGGAAAAGTTTTTGGGACTTGTAAATGTTTGAAAGAATTTTGACACACACCCTATTTGTATCCATAGTGACAGTGCTTATGTTACCAGATCAAACTGGTAACATAAGCATAAGAATCTTGGGAAACTGGTTGGATGGGGACTATAGCACCCCTTCCAGTTAGCAATTGTAAAGGTAAACACTCATTCAAATGTACAAGTGAATTTGTTAGCAAAGGAGGCTGTCTTAGATGGAGAGCAATGGCATTTACATGTAAAAGATATTGAGATACAGCAAGAACTCATTACTCTAATAGCCAAGATTGTTGATCAAGGTTCAGAAGTGCCAGATTTAAAAGCAGAACATAATAGGAATCCTAATCTTTCTCTTTTATTACAGAACCATCAAACACTTCAAAGTGGTTATTCTATAAAAGAAGGGTTGTTATGTTACAGTAATCCTAATGGCCAACAACCAAGGCTTCTTTTTACTGCCCCACACCGTTTACAGAGGCCTATTACACAACAAACACATGCTTTTATGTGTCACATTGGACAGAGTGCATTTGACTATCACCTCAGACTGAAATCTTATTGTCCTGAAATAACAAATTCAACTCTATATTGCTTTCAGGAATGCCTTATTTGTGCCCAAGTATATCCATGCCCTAAGCAACAAAGGCCTATGCATCAGAGAGTGCCAGTTGCCAACAGCCCTTGGAAGTCAATACAGAATGATTTCATAGATGCACTTGCACTGTCCAAGGGGGGTCTCATATATGGCCCCAACAAATTGTAAAATTTGATCTACTCCTTAAACTCCGTTTGAGAAGGGGGGAGGGGTAGACTAAATAATGATTTAAAATTTGAGCAAAGTTCTCCCTGGGATGCAAATTGGGAAGAGCCCTATGTAATCCTAGAAACATTGAGCAAAATATGTTTTAAAAATGCAGGTAGGTACAAGTCGGTCCATGTAGACCAATGTAAATTATACAAAGGGGCTTGTTCCCCAGGTACAGAGTTATCTGCTAAGAACTGATGCGCCGCCTTATAGAGCTTGCAACGGCACCCCCAGGCATAAACGGGTTAAACCGCCGTTTAGTAGATCTTCCCTTCCAGAGACACAGGCACAGCTACTGTAGACATCAATCCACCGAACCGGAGAAGCATATGAATGCTCTCAAACATACGAATGCTGTAAACAGCCGAATAGGAAAAACCCTACGAATTGGTTTACACTCCTAGCAGTCGAACTGTAACAGCATACAATAAATCCCCCAAGAACGAGACAAGGCTCCGTTTTGAGGGTCAAGCAGGAACAGACAGAGCTGTGGGTTTATTGTTCTTTTATACACATTAGTACCACCCACAGGGTTTTGGAAAACAACCAATAAACACATACAATACACTCAGACACTCCCACACAAAATCCTCCCCTCTGCCTGTGATACAATTACCTTACACAATGGGTAATGTAATTATCACCGGCAGAGAAATACAGTTTTTCAACATTATTCATAACTTTAAAAGTATGCATCACATTCACATAAAAATGTGTCAAAATCATCCAAATTGGTCCATTGGTTCAAAAGATAGATCGAAGTCCTTTATGACCAAATGAAGCATGGCTTTTCTGCCCAAAACCAGTTCCACAGAGTCTTCTATCCTGGAGATAATTGGGAAGTAATCCAATTTTATAACAAGACACGGAGGCTCATATTGCATATCCCTTTCTTTACTGTCCACCAATAGCAGCAAAGAATACAAACAGAATGAAAAAATAATGAACATGCAGTAACATAGGCCCCTCCCCGCTCAGGTCCCAGTATAACAGGCAGCACTTCCCTTCCATTTCCCTCTTTGCTGCTCCGACACAAAGATAAGTACATGTCATTTTTTCTCTTCATATTTTCTTATTATACTGGTTTTTTCTCATTGATATTTTCTGTCAGTCTGCTTACCACTTAAACCTGGTAGCTTTCTATAGTTTTTTCCTACCATATTTATCTTACATTTATTGTATTTATTTATTTATTTATTCATTTTACTTGTATTTATTTCATTTTCTTTTTGTATTACAATTACTTAATACCTTGTCTCATTGTACCTCTATGTATTTATCTGTTTTTTCTGTTAGTCTCAGGGCCCAGACCTCCCCTGTCAATGTAGTCTTGTCTCCTGTCTGTCTTTTGTCCTGGCGCCATTTTGCGCATGTTCTCTCCCCGGCTGTTTATGCGCGTGAATTGAGCCTATTCGGCTGATTCGCCGCACACACATCTCATTCCCCATTCGGCGAACAGAGCGTTCAAATGTTTGCCGCATTCGAATTTTTTATGCAAACGGTACATTCGCCTACTCTTTACTCCCTTATACTTACCTATCTGGTTCCCAAATTCACCTTATTTTACTGAACGTTCGGTAGTTTTTGCCGCGAATCTCGCGGGTGCCGCAAATCCCGCGAGATTACCGGCGGCCATTTTCAGACTTCCTGTCTCCTACATCTTAGTGTGTCACTGGTCTGGGCCCTGGTGAGAGCGTTTTTAGCTTTGTCTAGCTGTTTGGGTGACTAACCCATACCTTTTTCTTTTATCTATTATTCCCTGCTAATTTTCTCAGCATTCCTAAACCCAGACTATCCGCTGGGTCCACTCCCTCTGGGGAGTCTGATACACCACTCATTAGGAATGAGGCTCCTGTCACCTCAGACAACTCGCCTACTATGGCTGATGGAACTACCCACTCTGATGGGGCACAGTTTCTAGCGCTGCAGCGCTCAGTGACAGACGCCATTATGGCGGCCATGGGGTCTATGTCCTCCACCCTCTCCTACACCATTTCACAGGCCCTCTTGCCACGTCCTTCAGACTAGCAACTTTCGGACCTCTCGACGCCTTTACCGCGTCCCTCTTTGAAACCCCAGGGAGAGGTGTCTAAAGAGGTGTTTAAAAAGGCTACCCGTAAATCCAAGCACCCCTCTGCCTCCAGAAACACCATGACTAGCATACCTTCGGTCGCCCCAGAAACGTGTCCCATCCACGCAAGAGAGCCTTTCCGCGCCAGGCAGAACGGGCGCGGCTATGGAAATGTGCCAGAGCACAGATGGAGAGCGACACCGACTCAGAAATCAGGTCAAATGAGGAGGCTAAGAGCGAGTCGGATACTGATGCGGATGCCGCTGATGCTGGTCTTGACCTCCTTTCCTCTGCTCAGGCAGAGATGCCCGGAGGCGAGATAGGGATCAGGAACCCCGCGGATGCGGGGTCCACCCTTGTGGATCCTTCGGATGTCCCACTCTTCGACCCGGATGATCTACACCATCCTAGGTCGGCAGAGTGGCTCCCGGCTGACCACGTTGCCACATACCTGGAAAATTGGGTCAGAAGACCCTTAAGTAAAGCGGCCCGCAACAAATTGAGGGCAGAGTGTCCTAGGCCTGTGGTGCTTAACAAAGTTTGTGACACTCCGGAGGTAGACCCCAAGATGACTAAAATGGGCTGGAATCCCCGTAAAGGACTGGAGTCGGCATTGAAATCCTGCCAGGACAAACACCTGACATATTCGGCCCCTTGGCCAAATTATTTGACTTGGCGGAAGACGCCAGAGCGGAGAACCGCATGGTTGACCCCGAAGACCTTAGAGGTTGGGTCCAGAGAGCAATATGCATTGCTGGGAGTGTAAATACCTCCCTATCTATAGAAAGGCGTAAGGCCATATTATTCAACAATGAGCCCAAACTGGCCAATCTCGCCCTTACAGAAGCGGGTAAAGACGCCCAAGGACTTCTCTTTGGAGATTCCTTCATAAAAGATTTAGGGCACTTCGTTGGAGCATTCACGGCTCTAGACAAGGCCCAAGCCTCCATGAGGCGAGTATTCCAGGGGCGGGTCTCTACCAGGGCCGGCAGATTCAGGAGCCGCCTGTCCGGCCACAGTTACCCCCAATCCCGTGGCACGGGAAGAGGCACCTTCCAGCACCGTAACCAGTACCAGGATGCCACCTCCCGCCCCACATTTTTTCAATCCCGCGGATGTCCATGGCTCAAGACGACCATACGGTGAGTTACCTCATACCACACATTTCTTCTTAGGGTTACATAGGGGGCAGACTCCAACATTTTTTCCCAGCCTGGTCACAAATCACTTCAGACCCCTGGGTACTGACCACTATTCGGGGTTTCAGTATAGAACTCACAACCCATCTCATACACATCCCCCCTCCTCGACCGATCTGCTTTTCCCTCCAGGACCGCAGACGGATCGACGAGGAACTCTCAACCCTCCTTATCAAAGGGGCTATAGAACAAGCACCCCTCAACCCCGCAGGTGTCATAAGCAACATCTTCCTGGTGGAAAAGAAGGGCGGCCAATCGAGAACCGTCATAAATTTGCGCCCCCTCAATGCCATAGTCAGGTACCGCCATTTCAAGATGGAAGGTATTCACCTACTAAGAGATCTCCTCCTCCACGGAGACTGGCTAGCGAAGCTAGACCTAAAAGACGCGTACCTGACAGTGCCGATAGCGGCGGCATCTCGAGACCTCCTACGTTTTTACTGGCGGCACAAGACATGGCGGTTCACCTGCCTACCCTTTGGCCTCTCCTCAGCACCGTGGTGCTTCACGAAGCTATTACGGCCTGTGATGGCCTGGCTACGCAGTCGAGGAGTTCGACTAATCGTCTACCTAGACGATATTCTGCTCATGGCTCAGGAGCGTTCCACCCTCCTCACACATCTACGGCTGGCCATAAACCTCCTTTCACGCTTAGGTTTCATAATCAACTGGGAGAAGTCATGCCTGACCCCCACCACTCGCATGGAATTCTTAGGATTCCTGGTGGATTCGGGGGCAGCAACGCTGAGCCTCCCGATATCCAAAATTCGATCCATCCGCAAAAAGTTACGCAGGGCCCTCATCCGGCCCCAGCTCACCTTACGCCAACTTGCACGACTCATAGGCCTACTGGCCTCCTCGATACAGGGCGTGTTCCCAGGTCCACTCCACTACCGAGCGCTACAGCGCCTTAAGATCGCTCACCTAAGATCCGGGGCATCCTACGCGGATCTGGTATCATTGGACAGCGAGACGAAAGACGAGTTGCGATGGTGGATTCTCAACCTGTCCGCAGGGAATGGCAAAGCCATCTTCGGCTCAATGCCAGAATTCACGATCGACTCAGATGCGAGTCTCCACGGCTGGGGAGCCCACTGCGAGGGAGTCTCAACAGGGGGCCGTTGGTCGGTATCCGAATCCCGACTGCACATCAACACCCTGGAACTACTGGCAGGCTCCTTCGCCATTTGCAGCTTCGCCAGGGACCGAGCCCTATCATGTATTCGGCTCTGCATGGACAATGTCTCGGCGGTGAGATATGTCAACCACCTGGGTGGTACACAGTCGGCAGTCCTGGCCAGACTGGCGAAAGACTTTTGGGAATTCTGCCTGGAACGGAACCTGATGGTCTACGCGGAATACCTACCTGGTCTGCACAATGTCCAGGCGGACTGGGGTTCACGTTATCTCTCAGACACCAGCGACTGGAGATTGTCCAAGGAGGTGTTCTCCAATATATCGTATCTCTGGGGACCATTTACCATAGACCTTTTCGCTTCCCGGCTCAACGCCCAACTCCCACGCTTCTTCAGCTGGAGGCCAGATCCAATGGCGGAGGCAGTGGACGCCTTCCTACAAGACTGGAACAGAGGCCTCCTATATGCCTTTCCCCCGTTTTCCATGATCCCGCGCTCACTCCTACAGACCCGCAAACACCAGGCAGAAGTGGTCATGGTCACCCCATTTTGGGAAACGCAGCCATGGTTCCCCCAAATGCTCGAGATGATGTTAGACTATCCCCGACTACTACCGGGACACCACAACTTACTGCAAGACCCGACGGGACGATATCACCCCCTCCGGTTAGAAGGCTCTCTCCCACTCCTGGCATGGCGGATCTCCGGAGACCCTGGGAAATCCAAGAGGTTTCGGACACGACTAGACGTCTATTGGCAGCAGCATGGGCTCCCGGCACTAGACGGGCATATGGGTCAGCTTGGCGAGCTTGGGCTGGCTGGTGCATGGCTAGGAACGCGGATCCCGTTTCGGCCTCTGTAACAATGGTCCTGCAGTTCCTGATGTCCCTCCTCGAGGCTGGAAAGGCTTACAGGACTATCAACCTTTACCGATCTGCTAGATCGGCGATTCACCAAGGCTTCGATGGCTGCCCTGCGGGACAGCACCCCTTAGTGTGCCAACTCCTCAAGGGTTCTCGATTTTCACGACCACCCAGGCCCCGCTACTCCACGACCTGGGACGTCTCGGTCGTATTGGCTTTCCTCTAATCCTGGCCCGCTAACTCAGGACTCTCCCTCAAACAGCTATCTGCCAAATTGGTTTGCCTGCTCTGCCTTGTCTCATGCAAGAGGGTTTCGGATGTCAGAGCACTGGACTTCGATGCCAAGTCGTATACCCCGGACGGGGTAACTTTCAACATCAGCAGATGGACTAAGACTTCCATCAAATTAGTATCCTACCCTAGTTTCTCTACCTCTCCTTCACTATGCCCAGTGGCCTGCCTTCGCGAATACGAGACTCGCACCAACCCACATCGCTCTACCATCTCTCCTCAGTTGTTTTTATCTTTCCGTCCTCCTTTTCACCCGGTTTCTAGCACTACCTTGTCACGATGGGTGAAATGGCTGTTGTCCCAAGCAGGTATTGATACCACGATATTTGGCGCCCATTCGGTCCGGGGGGGCATCAGCCTCTTCTATGATGTCGGCAGGCGCACGCCTGGAAGACATTTTGAGGACGGCCGACTGGTCTAGGGAGTCTACATTCCGAGAATTTTACTTTCGGCCGGCCCCACATACATTCGCTGCGGTAATGGATCAGCTTTAAACTTGCAATATGAGCCTCCGTGTCTTGTTATAAAATTACATGATTTTGCTATTACATGACGAAAAGTCATGATTTTATTATAAGACACGGTGGCGAGTATTGTCCCACCATTTTTCGTTTTTACACAGTTGTAATAATAATAATTTCCCTCCCAGAATTACTCATACTACAATACACCACATATTATGGTTCAGTACGGTAAGTGGGGCCATACTTAGACAATGAGGTTTCTGTAATGTTGAGTATATCAGTTGTTTTGTGGGACTGTGCATATGTGGGTTATTTTCTCACCCGTGTAACCTTGAAACTAGTTACAAGTATCGACTTTAACCTGTCGGCTCCTGTTCCTTTATGTTTTCACAGCTTAATCCGGCAAGACAGCAAGCAGTGGTTCGACTTAGAAGGACTCCTCCCGCTGTTATCCGATGGTCCCATGACTCCTATGGTCAAGCTTCCCAGTTATTGATGTTCTACCCTCTTCAGTTTTAAGTTATTGCCTTGGGACTTTGTTCTCACACTACTCTCGTTCTGGACATTTTACCTTGGTCGCATCTTCAGAAAGAGGGAAATGGAAGGGAAGTGCTGCCTGTTATACTGGGACCTGAGCGGGGAGGGGCCTATGTTACTGCATGTTCATTATTTTTTCATTCTGTTTGTATTCTTTGCTGCTATTGGTGGACAATACTCGCCTCCGTGTCTTTAATAAAATCATGACTTTTTGTCATGTAATAGCAAAATCATGTAATTATCTCCAAGGGCAGAGGCAAAACTCCATTGAACACATGGCAGCAAAAGACAATAAAACACATGAAAATATATAACTGTGCAGCCATTGCACAAAACAGGTACATTCAACATATCCCCAGATCTGAGCGCACATTATTACTGAATGGCGTTCAGAGCACACACATACAGTTCAATTGCCATGGTGCCAAAGTCTTTCCCATAGTCTTTCATTATACGAATGGCTATAGCTATCTGGGGTATCACCGCTCAAACAGGGCCAGCACCGAATGACCCGGCTTTTGTGTCTTCGCAGGGGAAAATCAAGCGTTTCAACATGGGGCCATAGTCTAAAGGCAGCAGGCGGGCAACCAGGCTCCTCCAATGCACAGTGGCGAGATTGGTCTCGTCACAGATCTCTTATAGATTTTTCCAAAAGTACCAAGATGGTAAAGATGTCACTCAACATTATGATACTCACTTGGGTCTTGATGGAACAGCTTGTCACAGGCCAAACCAACACCAGCTGTATCTATGCAAATGCAGCTCCATCTACCAAAAACTTAACAGAGGACAGCAGTGACATTCTACAAGTTCCATGTGTAGATGTGACATTTAATTTTGGGTGGGTGATCAAGATTGTTTGGATAAAACAACCAGATTCTATCAAGGGATTTTGGAAAAGACAATAAGGGAAATGAAGAACATTGGGAATGGATATGGACTAGTTGAGGAAAATGGGAATGTATATAGACTGGTTAGGGAAAATGGGTGGTGTATTTGAGGGCGAAAATATTAATCAGGAATCGAACGTTACTAACCCTATTTATAATGTTAACTGCAAGAGAGTATCATATAACACAAATTATAGTGGATACATTTAATTCAAATTGGACACAGAAGGTAATAAAGACACATAGTACAGCAACACTACACAGTGAAGAAATATTGTCATGGGATTTTGTATGTTTCTATGTAAACTGAACTATCTATCTAAAATCATGGCGCAAACCTTAGATTAAATAGGTTTGCCTATGATCATAGAGATATGTGGAGTAAAAGTGGGATGGTATGTCAGGGTAATACCTGTAGGGCCATTTCACAGGTGCCATCCAGTGGTGTTTGTAATTAATACACAACACTTTAACTTGACAGTACCTTTATTACTTACTATCAACATAACCCTGGGTCGCCCATTAATAGAGTTTAGTATAACTGCACACTCCCTTTGGCAAGAATAGGTTGTTCATTAAAAGTAATACAACATTTACAAACCTGTGGTGAACATTTTCATAATGAGTTCTTTCACCAACAACAAGAACTTTAGGAGGGCAGCAGCCTTTAGATTTGGGGACAGCAGCCCATAGATTTGGGAGGGGGGCAG